GCCGACATGTTCACTAAGAACTTAGGACATGTCAAGTTCCTATGCTTCAGAGCGCAACTCGGACTTAGGTTTTACAAGTAATCTAAGTCAGCCCAACGCTTGCGTGCGCGAATATCCGCGGCACTTAGCGAGGGGGAGTGTTGAACTGGGCGCTGACTTAGCTGCCAGGTTCTACAACATACCAGAACGTACCAGAACCCTCTGGAACATTCTGGTATATTCCATTATTGTACAAGGCACGGAGCTCATGTGGGTCAGTGACATCATAGGTGGAGCTCAGTAGGATTATAGATATTCCACGTAGCTTAGTCAGCCTATGGGCCACAGTGTATATAAACCCTGCAGCTCTGCTGCCTAATGACAAGGGTCGTTCATACGAGCTTTACCAGTAGCTACAGCATCCAACCAATACAGGTGAGTTGTGTAGGGCGCACTGTGCGTGCTGCTGCCTCCATAACTCTTCATCAGTAATTCCCATGAATTTCAAGTTGTCCATGCCCAATGACTAATTATATGTATACAGGGCTGTTGGATTTCGGGAGTCGGGATCGAGCTTGCGAGCTCGCGCCGTGTTGCGCGTGGTCAGGGGGGACCGCCACAGGTGGGCCCGACTGATAAGGTGATAAGAAAATTCATATATATTCATTGTATCTACTCGATGTCCTGTACGCGATTGCCCTTCGGGCAACCGACCGCCTGGGGCAAACGCGCTCATCTTCCGTTTGCTTAGAATATTTCAACAAGGGCATCTGTGGAGGCATCACATTTCCAATGCAATGCCAGTAGTATTGACTATGGAAACCGTTAGGGGGAGGGCACGGAAGGGGCTTCAGTGCATTCGTGTGACCCCAATTGGACAGACAGCTTCGATTACTCACCACATTTTTTTACAATTACCCAGCAATTTCAATCTCACAGACTGATTACAATAAACTTACAAGCTAAAACCATCAGGCTATGCAGATTTTATCATAAGCAGGAGGGGTACGCGTCTGTGGCCGGTGGACAGAGCCACAGAATCGACACGCGCCCACGTGCACCGTGGTGTGGTTCTCACGTTCGCATTTGCAGTTCGCGAACGCGTTCGGCGGTGTGACCTCCCAGTGGGGTCGACTTTCTGGACGCGAGCGTGACTTATCGCGTCGGTCCCTGTCACGTTGTCACGCGTGGGTCCCTCCATCATTGGTTGTGATTGGCCGCGCCGGCTAAGTTCAGAGACGTGAATGGACTCTGACCATGGCCCAAAGCACTGCGATTCATGAGATAAGCAGGTGGGAGAACAATTTTTTTGCATGCTCCGAAGCTGACCTTGGTAGAGGCATAAAGAATGAGAGGATAATGTTGATAAAACGTTCCCTACTAGTACTTTTGACAGACCACAGTAAATGCCCCGCGGACCTCCCTTTGTTCATTCAAAGGACATGCTCCCGGTCATGGCACAACAAAGACCATCGTAAGAAAGTGTTCTCCCAACTGGGGCATGTTCCTAGCACGCTCGCGGGTGGGACATCATGATCGGTCTCTGCCCGCAGTGACTGTCCCTGGTTTCGAGATAGTGAGCTCGTAATGACGCACAAATTTACTCTGCTGCAGTCTACCCTAGCTGCTTCAGCAGTTCCAGCCAAAGTTATGCTTTACACCGCGCATACCAAAATAGCCCTAGACCTGTATGCCACCAACCCAATTCTGCATGCGCATATGACAGCGCATTGTAAGACGGGACCATGATGCGGGCATCTGCAGAATTCTTCTATGATTTTCTAACATATTCTATAGTTTAAACCGGCTTAAGTGCCCACTAGAGCAATGGCGCATTGCTCCCCTCTCAGAAGAGAACGCCGCGAGGAATATATGCCAGTGCGGGGTTGTGCAAAAGGTCTATATCGTCCCTCTATGACGATTAACATGTAAAGACCATTTTCCGGTTATAGGGTGCACTCACCAGGAACAGGTAGATTGTACAAGAAGAAAGAAAGAATATACAAAATCCAGCCGATCAGAGGACTTATTCTGCTCATAGTATGCTCTGTTTAGAATGCTATAGTATGATGCGTGCTGGGTTCTTTCAACTGCAAGAAAATGACTGCACAGGAGAAGTAGCCGACATATCATTCCATCAGCACTGGGTCCTCACTCCTCCGATTTTTATGGGGGATTACCGCCCGCTCAGTGTCTCAGTACTGGCACCCCTGATGTACGGACATTCCATTGGCCGACCTGGTTGTTTTTCCTCACATATTTTTTCTGTATATTGGAAACCCTTATATACAAGTTCCTGAGGCCGTTGGAGCCCTCCTACAAGTGCTACGCTTATTTCTATTCCGGAGGCCATCTCGCGGGCCGAAAGTGGCGCACCGCCTTACAGTACGTTCCAAACACAGCAGCGATGCTATACAACGTAACTCGAGTACCGCATGGCCGTTCTCTAATCCACATGTGAGTTCCTCCAAGATGCCACGGAGTTGTGATGGCTCATGTCCTGTAGCGTGTCGATATCCAAATCAGGGAAAGACAGTCAGGCCCTAGCCATGGTGGTCATTGACAGGCCCGTCCCACACGCATTCATGTGGATTTGCTACGACGACCACGTCAAGCACATTGAAGCCAACCGCCCAGGTGAGATCTGCAGCAGGAATAGGGCCTCTATACTGATAGCGCGATATGGTGTATATCACAACTACAGCCGTTCGCGGTGGCACTGGGCCGGGGAACGGTGGAAGTTGGCGATATTGGGATAGCTCGAAAGGCTCGTTCCTGCCATCGAAGACTTCCACTATCAAGCAGTCAGCGGAGAACGGTTTCGTCAGGAAGAAGACTTGCCTGGATCATTGTAAGCCCGGACCAATGGATAGGCTGCAAGGAACATAGTAGTTAATGTGAAGTCCAGCAGAATTCGGGAAGGTGTTCCGTACCATGTACGTTGCCTGGTATCAGGCGCGGGTGTTTCGGCGGCTGCTTGACCGGTGTGCCGTTGACCACATCTAAGAAATTAAGAGGGATTCGTCGTGGCGAGAACAGCCCGACTCACTTTTTCTGCGCGTAGTCGAAAACGCCACGCCGTTCCGGAAGGTCGACGTGTAAAGACAATTCGCGTCAAGAACGGCTCCGACTACGGAGCACAGACGAGGCCACGTCGTCTGCGATGGTGTAACACAGATCTCGGGTTGATCATCGCCAGCGCGATGGAGGGTGCTCCACGTGCAGAATCCCACCGTGAAGAAAACCCCACATTTCCGAATATTCTTGATGTGCAGATAACTGTGGGGTATATAAAGAGAATCTGGATCAGCGAAGGCAAGATTCTTGAGCTGGGATGTGCCCCTATGCGTGTCAAGCCGAAGTAGGTGACTATTTCGAGTCAGTTAGTATAAGAAAATCATGACTATTGAGACTGACTCCTTCACGCCTCCGGCAGGATTCTGACGCATCCTCTCAAAGCTCACAGGCTGGACTTCGGCAGCGATGCCGTTCACACCAGTTAAGAGTCTGACGAATCTCAAGGGCGGCAAGCCGCGTACCATGTCCCGCCTTTGGGCATAGACATGAGCTATGCTTGTTTCCTTCAAACAATTCGGCTGAACGTCACCCACCCATGTACGGGAACAGGGTCGGCTTCAGCGCGTACCTCCGCCTCGCCTTGGTGGTGGTCATGCTGCGGGTCAGCGATGTTTGGATCCTGGTTCCCGCCGGTAGCTTGCACCGAGATCTGTCGGTATGCTAAAAAGCTATACATTATCTGTTTGTTGCAAAACATACTTCCAGCTCGTCGACTCGTCTAAGGAGTTCGTCAATGCTGAGAGAGACCGCGACGGAGCGGTCTCGACTGGCGGACACTTCCTCCGCCAACCTCTGAGCCCTAGGGTCAGCTTAGGAGTATACTGCATGTGTATTCTGCGTACGCTCTGCAAGGCTGTTATGCGCTCCTGGCAGGATTCCATCTGCCGCAGCCTAGAGCCAGGGCGAAGTAGGCCCGACAGGCTGCGGAACTGCCTCAGCCTCGCTAGCTCCGTCTGATTCCGTTCCAACTCTCTAGTGCGCGAGCTATATCAGGTGATGTGCTAATGAACGCAGAAAAGGTCACGAACGTTTGGATACTCTGTATGATAGCTTCGCTCATACCCGTATCGTCGTCCCCGATGATGTCGTACTTTGTAAGTTGTATAAGCGGTCAGAATTATGACCGGCAAATCCAGGGGAATCATACCTGCACCACTCCAGCGGATGCCATAGCTGAGGAGGTAGAACTTTGATGACTCTACCATCTGTCATATATATAGCAGGCACTGTGCGCAGTTACCGCGCCTTGACGGCGTCTAACTATCAATGCCCAGTGAATGAATCCCATATCGCGTCTAATTCGTACTTTGAATCAACGAGGTTACGTGTTTTTACGTGCGATGTTGTCAACTTTCGTGCCTGAATTTCGACAGGGAACCAATCAGGTGCAGTAAAATCTCAGCAAATAGGAACGACTGCCGCACGCACAGAGCCAACACGGCAATACAAAGTACTAACACGAAGCCGAGTAAGGATAAGTCACCTCGATCAAAGAAGGAAGTATGTCTGCCATTTCTCTCTTCACAAGGTTATGAAGCAGAATCACGACCGAGTTGATGGCACAGGATTTGTACGCAGCAATTATAGGCCTAGGAACACAGCACCAAGAGAACATCCTCGTATCACTGGGCTGCAACGTCTTCATCAGCTACCCAAAGATCACAGAGTCCTTAGATTGTTCTCCGCCTGCCCACAGAAAGGGGCACTTCAGCCCGGCTGTTCAAGACTAGGTGTCCTAGTGAGAGAAAGCAGCCAAAGGTCCAGTGTTCCCGGATAGGAATGGGCGAAATGAATGTCCACGGCTATTCAGAAACCCTCCGTCGCACCCCAGAGAGCGGTGCAAAGACATATAGAACAAGTAGTGGTTACTCCACAGAAATTCACGGCACCTTCAACTTCACGAACGTGGCAGTGCGAGCGTGACCGGAAATGTTTGGCCTACAAGTCTCTGGGCAGACTCCAAGTTTTGAAAGACATTCTGAAAGCCATGATAGCTCGCCTCGTTCTGTGGCATGGGGAGTTACAGAGCTCTTGATGCACCGGGACAGAGGAGGACACGCGTTAAGCCGATGAAAGGTCTTTTGTGATGGCTAAGCAAAGTGAGCTATGCTAGAGCAGGCTAAGGTGGTAAGGCAGACGTCGACGACCCTCATTCACAGGTTGCTGAGTAGTAACGAAACGCGCGATCGCTATGACTCGGCCATCCCAAATACCTCGTTTCACGAGATGTCCACGTCTTGATCTATCGTCCATTGATGTTTGCTGGTAGAGGGAAGTCTGGCGTGGAAGCGATGTACGTAGTCGTGGTCGAACGAAATCAACAACCACTCCCAAAGGATAGATGCGGCAAGCCTGATAGTATCACGTACGCCTGCGTTCCAAAGAGGTTTGGAATGGAGCCGTACAAGGATACTTCATTGTTGTGGATTCGTTCATTCTCCTGATTGATAGCGCTCGTCGCCACCCTGTTTATTTCAACAAAAGCGCAACGCCGAAGAAGCTGCAGACAACAAATTCACTGTCTGGGACGTCCGTCGTGGCGACGAGGTTGCTATTGCCAAGGCCGATTGCCATCACTGCAGTTCAGGCGGCAATGTTCGAACATGACGCACTTGTTTCGAAGGCCGCGAGGGAGTCTTTAAGACATGACGTCGTGAATTCACGGCCAGTGAATTCAGATCAAGCCTATGTTCCTCCCGCGGAACGACAGAAATTACTGTAACAGGGACAGAAGGAGGATGGGTGAGAGAGCATGGTCGCTGTGCCTTCGTAAATATAGAGATTTATAAGAGCAAACGGAGGGAGAGGATCGACACGGCCTCTCCTATGCGGAAGAGGCCGAGAATACAGCGTGCAAATGACGGCACAGGTCCCCGGCGGATAGATAAGGGAATTGCCGGATAGGTTCTGACCAATAGCAAGTCGAGAATCAATCTACACATTATTACTTACCGTGAGAAGGTGATGGGACTAGTATTTTTGGCAGGGAGAAGCGTTCTGTTCTATTCTGCAGGCCAGCGTGCGTTGTTGACCGTCCCCTCGTTTACCCGGCGCCGTCCCCTCTTTATCCTCTTGCTCTTGAGCTTGTCGGTTTCCCGCCCACGCATTTTTGCCAGGTTTTGTGTTTGACGTCCTCCAAAATGCGCGCCGCGACCTTTGCCATTGCTGCTGTGAGTACGAACACTTGTCATGCGACTGGATGCAAGACTAATGTCACTATTTTTCGGTGCTTTCCTAGTTGACTGCTGCGTCGGCGGCGTCTGCCGCCAACATCGTGATCACTGTCGGCGGTAACACGACCAGCAACGCGAGCCTGGTTTTCCAGCCTCAGCGGGTGACCGCCCAAGTGGGCGACACGGTCATTTTCAACTGTGAGTTGCTCCTCGAACGAGAACGTTCGCATATTCATCCATTCGTGTCAGTCACCCAAGGAAACCACACGGCGACCCAAGCTGTCTTCTCCGAGCCGTGCATCCCCGCGCACGATGCGAACATCACCATCAACGGGTTCGACTCGGGCTTCCGCGACGCGGGCAACGGCACCGCGATCACCATCCTCTCCGTGCCCATCCTGCCGGAGAACGTCAACCAGACGATGTGGTTCTATGACTACAACCTGTGCGGGCAGGGCGGCGTCGGCGTGATCAACGACAACGAGTCCAGCTACGAGACCCTCGCGGGCTTCGAGCGCAACGCCATCCGCCTCAACGGCACCGGCGCGCATTCGTCCTCTGCCTCGCACAGCGCCACGCGCACCGCGACCTCTGCGACCGGCTCGTCGACGTCCCACAGCTCGAGTGCGGACCGCGCGGTCAAGGTCGGGAGCATCGCAGCCCTGCCGCTTGCCCTCGCGGGCCTTGCGCTTTCGCTCTGAGGTCCGACTTTGCGTACACTTACTGTTCCGAGGCAGCGTTGTCCCCTCGTTTCCTTCCGGTTGTTGCATTCCTATCCACTGCCTGTTGTATACCCCGAGAACATTTTCTTGACGACCCCTTTAGATGACCATGTCCGCCGATTCCCTTCTCGCTGTTCCTCCCGCTGTCCTTACGTATACTACTTCCGCTGTGTTGTGATCCTGTGCATTGTGCTGTATCTTCGTGGCGTATATCATCTACTTGATTCTGCTCTGAACCTTAGGTTCAGTGCCAATTGCGTTCCTCACAACTCAGGTGCTGTCAAGTGTCCAGAGATTTGCTCTCCTCCCGTGTGCTAGTGATACTACAACGCGAGGGTCCGAGACTGACGGAATTTACTCCTGTTGATCGACCGATAGCTCTGGATTGCCCCTTACCATACCAGAACCGGATCACTTCCCTGGCGCAAGTCAAACTTCAAAGACCTATCCTACTAGTGTATCGGCGTAGTGACATTAGTCTTCTATCCCGTCGCATGACAACTATTCGTACTCACAGCAGCAGTGGCAAAGGTCGCGGCACGCATTTTGGACCAAACCTGGCAAAAATGCGTGGGCGGGAAAGCCGACAAGCTCGAGAGCAAGAGGATAAAGCGGGGACGCCGCAGGGTAAACGAGGGGACGGTCCTTGGAGGTGTGGTACGGCGTCCGCCCGCCGGAGGGCGAGGAGGACGACGAGGGCGTGTGTGAGCAGCAGCTGGAGCGCCGCATTATATCCGTCGAGAAACAAACTAGGCGGAGGGCATGCCGGAGGGATGAGGGTGCGGAGGTGGAGGATGATAGTTGGATTAAGATCGCGTTTCGGTTGAGGGAGGAGCTGGATATCAAGTGCATCCGTGGATCCATAAAGGTTCGTGTTAATCTTTGTACGTCGTGTATTAGAATTCCCAGAGATGAGATGGAGGAAATTGGACGGGTTGTGGGGAGAGAGCTAGAGCAACTGCAGCCGGGATGCGTGTTCACGATCGACGGAGGGTGAGTGTCGTAGCTGCTTTCGAAGGCAGATCGACCGCTGATGGCGAACAGAGGTTGGCGCGGAAAGCTGATGAGCAACGACGTGGATATCGTGTTCACGCACCCCGAGGTCGAGAAGGTCAAGGGCCTTTGCGGACGGTTCGTAAATCCTTTATATGAGCGAGGTATGTCCTCGATTGTCTCTCGTGTTCGTATAACATGGCTGAACAATCCTGCAATACAGGACTGGACTCACATGTGATATGTCCGTGCTCACCTCGTTCGAACGAATCCAGCCTGACATTTCCATAAACTTGTCTGGGTTCCATGCCCATAAACCGTTGCGTACCACGCACAGGGATTCCCTGGAGAAGGCGTTGACGGTCTTCATGCTGCCAGAAGACTCGCCCTTCGCCAGGGACTTTCCGCAGGGGAAAGGTGGGGAGGTGAAGAGGCGCGCTTTGCGGAGGAGGCTAGATTTGATCTTTGCGATGCTGGAGGTGCATTGGACTGCGGTGATTAGCTGGGAAGTTTGCAGGGTCTGATGCATAAAGGGATGGGCAGCTCATATTAAGTAGGACGGGGTCGATAATGTTCCAGCGGGATTTGAGGCAGTGGGCGACGGATAAGAAGTGAGTGTTCCTTCGTGCGTTTGCTGGTGAGCTGACCTTGTCGTTGATGCAGGGGTTACAAGTTTGATAGCTCTGGCATGTGAGCGTCCTTTCATATCATAGTTGAAGTAGTGATACTTATCCTATGTCTCAGAACCCGACGCAGGGATTCGAAGCAGCTGTCCCCGAAGGCGGAGAAAGATGTGATTGATTATAATCTGTTCGAGCTCGAGTGGGTGGACCCGACTTGGAGGAATGCGGATGTGTGAATGGTCCCCTATGTGGTGGTTGTGATATTATTCTTGTATTGCCTCGTTGTAGCGCTAGACCCTTGTCTGTATTCCATTATAATGTAATGTTTACCAGCGATCTTGATAATAAGGAGTGAGCCGTGAACGTTCTCTGCTGACCTGGCCTACTTGTCTCGTCCCGTTCAGGATGGGGGGTCAGACCGGTCAGGTTCAACCCGTCAATGTCCTCCACACTGGGCGTAGGGTATATGGTCGTTAATTTACGGGTTCCATCCAAGGGTCGCGGGCGTGGTTCCCGTGGATCTCCGGATGGGGCTACGTATAGAATTACTGTGAACGCTTCGCTATTGTATGCCCGTAAGCCTTAAGCTTCCTCCCTGCACTCGAGTTGAGGGTTGGTAGGCTTCATGAGGTTGAATCTCCAGAATGCACAAAATCCTGCCTAGGTTTATTGAGTACTGATAGTAGGTACTGGTCCTGACGTTAGTGGGCCTGGGACCCGGACTCGGAAGGGGCGGCTGTTATGAGTTTCGTGGCATTTCTTCGTTGCAGCCAGTCCTTCCATAGATATAGAACACTTTCCTGCAAGTTGTTCTTGCTCGGTGGGTCCTTGTGGGCGCAAGCCGGCCGCATGACCGTGGACGTAAGGCCGTAAGCGGGCAAACAGCCACAATTCAAACAAGCGACGCGTATCGACAGTGAGATGGGCATCGATAATAATATCCCTCTTTCTCCCAACTTTCTCCTGTTCCACTCCCTGCCCTCCTCGAAATATGAGGCCTTCCTCTTTTTCTATGTCTCTGGCCAGCGGCGACACTCTGGAAGGTCGCCTAGGACTCGCCCATATTTTTTTCGTGACAAATGGTCTGACCTGGCGACTTGTGTAACGTCTGTCGTCGGAGTCCTCCTGAACGCGCAATGAAGTTTCCTTCTCTCGGATGTACTCGAGCGAAATCCTATCTGGCACAGTAGCCATCCTACGAAAGCCCAGGGAACGAATATCCGGAATTGCTGATAGGCACCGGATACGGGGTCGTGTATGTCAACTGCACTCCTATAAACATCGAGGAACCCCTACGAGTGGGTGACTTTCACACCGATTGAGCTAGCTGAGACAATTGAAGGGACCAAGGCAAGGCGATATTTTAATCACACAAACAATGAACAAAAGAAACTTATCAATCCTATCGCGATTTCCTCCTCCACCAGATCGTCGACGCACGAACCGTGTATACTACGTGCCTTCAACAAGCCGTGATTTTGGCCTCCGCTTGCCCTTTATTCGTCCGAAACCCCTGTTATTTGGCCAATCAATCTCACATTTTGATCGCCAAGGGAGTGTTACACACATCATCTTGTGCCCTTTTCAATGGACATTGACGCGACTCCTGGTTGCGCTACTTCATGTTCGTTTATAGGAGTTCGAGACCGGAGCGACTAATAACCGAATTCTAGTGAATAGCTTATAGGAAGACAAAGTCCGACGGGCAACATACCTCGCGACGGGGCATCTCATTGGCAGCGTTGCCCTCAAAGGCTGAAGACAACGCGTCGTTGTCTTCGATATCGCCGTCGTACGCGGAAGATGCATCGTCCACGTCCGACTCCTCCATCCCGGCGTCCTCTTCCTCGTCGGATGCCAGATCCGAGTAGTGATTTACCTCTCCAAGAACCTCCTTCTCCGTTTGGATACCACTGTGGATGATCTCCATGTCCTCCCCATGCTCGTCATCATCACTGCTAGGGTACTCGATTTCTGTGTCGAAAATGTCGCTCGCCGTCTCCGAAGCGCCCTCCCCGATTTCCATCTCCATCTCCTCATCAGCAGAGGAGTCATGGTCGCAAACGATCTGGCGCAGGTCCTCTGCGTTGGATTTCCGTGCCCACTTTGCGGGCAGCACGAGCGCGGACATGGCTATGAAGGTCGTTGTTCAAGTGTCGGCCTATCGATGTTCAAGGTGAAGCTGAAGGTGCGTCGCTGATCTTGGGCGATCGCTTAAGTGCGTGTCGGGCGATGCCGGTCTTTGTGGGCGTCGCCATCCGTTGTCCTCGCTTGAATAGTGTGATTACGCGATAAAAGGTCTTTCATATTCACTAGAGTAATGGATAAGTGCTGACTATGGTCTCCCATTAGGATATGTCACTATGTTTGGTGGTACGCGGTTTTAGTGTCGGCTTACTCGAATTAGGTCAAGCGCGTGGTGGGTGCCGCTCTTGCAGTCAGTCAGATTTATAGATGCGCATGACGTCCACCCGCGGACCATATAGTCGTCCCAGAATCAATACCCGGAACTGGACAGGCCTTGCTGCGAGAGAGCCCTTTCCCCTGCTGTCATGGCGAGGTGATTAAAGAGACCACACAGTCGTGTTATTTACAGAAGACAAGCAAAGACAAACGAAATTTCTCGATTCCAAGTCTACCTCAAAACATATCGTACCCAACTCTCTAACATGCATACCCAGCCGCCCATTTATAGCCCACATTCTCAAGTCTCCGATAAGATGCGATTTACCTGGCGCCAATGAATATACGAGTTCTCTCCAATAGGTGCCTACCACGCACATCGTCCTGTATATCATCGATAAACATGGATTCTAGTCATATACGACCATATTCCACTCCGAATCGGACAATGAAGATAGCGTGCTGTCGGAGTCAGCATCGCTGCAGGTCTCGTCGGATGACGATCTAACAGCTCCATGGACCAAACGGACGCGACCGCTGGAGGTGTTGCCAAGAGAGCGTAATCCCCCTTGCTCCTGGGTGGTGTCGTCATTTGCTTGGGATTGTTCCTCGGCAGACGTTGGATGGCAGCCGCGCTGTTGGAGGTTGGTTGTTTTAGTTGATTTCTTGTTCAAGAGCAACTAATGACCAAATGTCAGTTAGCTTGAATTGACCCTTCACGAGGTGATGCATGATGTACCTCCTCATCATAATTGTCGCTTTCATCCCCCTCGGCGCCTTCCTCCACATAATCCGGATCGGTCCGTCTTCCCTCGTCCTCGTCGCTTTCATCCTCCTCGTCATAATCATCGCGCATGCCCTCGGACATCCACATGTCATCGACATTGACATACGCGCCGTTGGATACGTTGACTTCGCTCAGGTCCATCTGGGCGCTGCCCTCATTGTCTGCAAGCTCCTCATTGTTCTCCATCTCCTCATCGGAACATTGGACGAAGGGTTTGCCATTTTCGCAGAAGGTTTGTCGGAGCTCTTCGGCGTTCGACTTTCTCCTCCACTTGGGGGGTAAGACGAGGGCAGTCATGGCAGAGAAAAGAAGATGTTCAAGAGTCGACGCGTGTGGCTATCGATGTTCAAGTTAAGGCCTGAAGACCGGTGGTCGAGCCGCATCGATCGCTTAGATGCTTATCGGGTGATGCCGGTCACTATGGGCATCACTCCTTTGTCCTCAATCTCTCGTCAAACGTCCACATAGGCACCTTAAAAAGTCCCGATGCCGCGGTACTCTGGATAGATCGAGATGACATCCCATTCACTCTACAATCGGTCATAACTTTCGCTGCGTCTCGCCGCTATACAGGAGTCAAGAACTGAAGTGTCTTCTTCAAAACGAGCTGTCTGCCCATTGCCGGAAATCCATGCTACATTAGTCACCCGGCCATCGATACACCACGAAGGGGACTGGAGAGCCACATCCGATCGCTCTCCAATCCCGCAGTGTACTTTATGACGAGCAATTGCTGATGATAGCCAAAGGCTCAGATGACCGTGCGGATTGCACTTGGCGGCACGAATACGCGGTCTGTGAGCCTGCGACCATAGGCCGCCGGATCTGCACGACTCTCGTGGGCATATTCCATTGACGTAGGCGGCGTGAATGTGCGGCCCATGAACCTGAGACTCAGAGTCGCTATTAGCCCAAAGGTCGTCGAGATCTTCGTCGTCCTATTCCCACTCCCATTCAACAGGATTGTAGGGCTCGTCGTCTGAGGTGGCAATAGCCAGCGCGAGAAGAATCCTTCTGATGTTTCTCTTATCTTGGGGTGTCATGATATACTTGCGTTCGAGTTCGACGGCCATTCGAAGAATGAAGTGGAAGTGACTGCAATATGAGAGGCAGTAGCAAAGGTGATCAGTAGTAATTCAGCATGATATCTGCATGCAGACCGTATGTTGACATACACATATAGCTATAGGATTCTTGTTTCAGGTAAAAGTGAATGTGGTGATCCTTGAGACTCTTACACGGTTTTGCGTCTAAGAAGGGAGGACACGAGAGTGTCATCCGTGTTGGTCTGTCGGAAAATAAAAGCCTACAGAAGGTTGCCTGTCAGGCAAAGCTCAGCGGCTATATCCTTCTTGAACACTATCTTCATGGCCTCTTCGTCGAGAAATGTTGCATGGCCTAGCCTCGACGGCGCAAACGTGTGAAGCAGATCATCAGTCTCGGAAGCAGGATTGTCAGCTGTCTGTAGAAGAATGCTGATCAGTCTTCCCGCCGGTCACCTCCCTCCCGATCATTTCTTACTTTGGCGATATGGACAGTTACACCCAGTCCCGACTTCTTGGCATTTTGAAAGTGTTTGACGAACCGCTGGAGTTCCCCGGCCTGAAACAGTGGTAGCTGAGAACAAGGTAACCTTTTAAGTGACAACATACCCGCGGATCACCACAGAGGTCAATACCGACGACCCTCCGCCCTTCTTCCTTCAGTGTGATGGCGAGGTTAATGCATTCTTCCACAATCGTCTCTTCCATGCGTCAGTCCATGCTAACTATCAAAGCAGCCTTGTCTGCTGAATATTTTTCGACTTCCTCGAGCACTGCCAGCAGATAACCACGCCTGTCCATCAAGTCAGTAGCATGGGGGGATCATTCTCATCTCCAGGTATGCACATTGAGGATTCAGGTCATCCAGAAAGGAATGCAGAACAGCTTGAGCAGCTTTTGCAACGTATTCGGGAGAAGATGTCAAAGCATGGATCGCCGGGAACAGCCCAAAGAATTCGCGCATTTTGTTGAGTTGCATGCAGATGGTTCATCAGAGGTCTTCGGCGTGCAACTGTCTCCTCCACTTGGGAGGTAAGACGAGGGCAGCCATGGCGGAGAAGGAGGATGTTCAAAAGTCGACGTGTGTGGCTAACGGTGTTCAGCCTGAAGGCCTGAAGCCTGAAGACCGGTGGTTAAGCCGGAATCCTCGGTAGACGTTACGGTTGAGGCATCTAAGCAAGGACCCCTGAAAATACCGATGGAGGTTAGATACCAATTCCGTAAAAAAGTGAGGTCTGGAGGCCGTATGTTAGATATGGTTGCAGTAAAATGTGGCGAAGCGCCCAAGAGGCCGGATACTTTAGTCCCGGTAGAATTGAGGGGAGGTTACGCATATGGTTGCTCGATATCAATATCGAGTGGCTGTGCCATTTCGTGGGACGAACCTACCAAACTCAACGAGTTATCGAGTGGCTGTGCCAGAGGCGCCACAACGGCTGCTGTGGCTCTCCCCGAGAACTCGATTTGTGCCTGCCATGACAGGTGTCAGACGAGCTCCCGTACGCGAGTACAATAGGTAAAATACCTGTGTATACTGTATACTTGAGACCATATATATGAATGTAGATGCGGCTTGATATCCATTACCCCAAATCATACCAACAGACCTTGATGTCCATGCAGAGTTTTTATGGAGCAGTGAATGCTGAGTGTTCAGCACTCAGCAGCAGTGAGACAGTTCACAGCAGTAGATTTACAGAATCATTTTCAATGAAATATCCTCTGCGCAGTTGGCCTGACTGGGTGTCACCACATTTACAGATATCCACAGTAATTCAGACCTTGTAAGGCAGTGTGGAGGGGGGAAAGCGTGCAAACTACAGATTCAATGCTAAACCTCTTTTGTGGAATTGTGGGGGAGTGGTGTTTGCTTTGAATGTTCGATATAAGAAGTCACTTGCCCCGGAGCACCCTAAATTGAGGAATTACAGTATTTTGGGCTTGAATTGCCTTCAGAAAATATGCATGGACTAGCTGTAGACTTTCTCATGGTTTCAGCCGCCATTTTATAGGAGATATATCTCAGAGAACGATGGACGGGTTGAGTATTACAGTAGTATGGCCCCGGAGGGGCCGGACAAATTCGATTTTAGTAGTATTCACACTTGGATTTTACGGTAAAACATGCAATCAGTCACTCACTAGCTGCTTTGTTCCTACTTCGGGGCTCTGAGGGCGATTTGTGGAGCATAGGCCCGAGAGTAACGCAGATTTCGGTCCCAAGGGCCTCAAAGCCACAACTGCCACATGGCTCTCTGAGCCAATCCCAATTTTTCTTTTTTCTTTTTTCTTTTTCTTTTTATTTTATTTTATTGCAACTCTATCATTATCGAGCCAAATTGAGGCTCAATATCCATTGTGGTATATACCCGGCTTCTCCCGGCACTCAATCACTGGCTTGTGCAGCCACAATTTGCCCCAATAAATATTTGAGCTGAGATTGCACTGTTCTGGCAACATTGGGCCTATATATGGCATATTGTAGCGGATAATGCCTTATTTTGATCAAATTTGGCTAAGAAAAACCCTTGTGACCGGATCAAAATTCGGAGGTTGAATATCTGGGTCCCGGTAAATCTCGAGCCACACGGCTAGGTTGGTATCGCGTCCCGGTAAAAATAGCCAAATTAGGCGAAATCCGGTCCCGGTAAAAATGAAGGAAATCAGGTTCTCTGGTATCTAACCTCCATTGGTACTTTCAGGGGTCCTCATGTTGGTGACTGGTATCACATGACTTATTTTCTAGCTTCTTCAGGCTCCATAGCTCTGGGGGCAGAATCGTCCAGACACGATGCTTTTTGATCTTGAAGAGAGAGAATTTGCGCATGTTCTTTCTCTTCCCCGAAGGACGGTTCTTAGTCTCACGCCGGGACCAGTCGCTGTGTGTCTTTCCTTTACTCGCTCTGATGCCCTGGAAAATGTGAAACACCTGTTTCGAGAGATGTCAGTGTCATCTCCCGACCCAGAGAATATACCCAGGTTTTCGCGAACATGGCTCATCTCACAGCAGAGAGTGGGGCGTGAATGCGCGGAAAGACTTGAATGCTAGTACACGCAGGTGAGTCTGTCTCCGCTGTGTCCAATCCCGTCGTCCCGGGCCCGTTTCTTCCTATGTATAGTGATGAAAATTGCATGTATCGAATGCATGTAGTCGGACGAGAGATCTCCGCCATTCGGGGCGCGTGGATGCTCTTGAGTGACGTAGTCTCATCAACAGACTGTATCTTCTCTCTGAGTTGTGGAGTCCTCTTGACTTTAGCGACGAGTACTGTCTTTGTTAGAGCTTTCTGTGCTAATTGTATCTCGTCGCAGGTAGCTTCACTCGGCAAAATATTACTTTACACTTGGTTTGCGCGTGTCTTAACTACGGATTGCCATTTCCAGAAAGTGAGGATTAGCTCCTCTTCTTTCCGCCTTGAAAGTGACGCAGTACGTGTCAGAATCAGAGCTTCCCGGCTAGCGAGACGGCGAGAGAGATCTTCGACACCCTCGTTTCCCAACCGTCCTAGCACGCTCTGATCATCAATCGTCCGTTGTAAATGTATCGACGACTCCCGCCCGTCTCGGTCTATATCAGACCTAGTTGCTGGTATCTTAGTTCTTACTTCATCACAATGTCTCCTTGTTGACATGGTGCATCGCCTGTCTGAAGTCGAGCGCCCGCTTTCGCTCCGCTATAGGTGAGTTCCTGGCAGAAATGAGGATGGCGCATGTCAAAGTTGCAGTTGCCACATGATTGTTGGACCCCGAGGTACGTACTGTCACGAGTAAATCCCCTTCTCGGAACGTTCGTTAGTTCATAGACTTATAACGAATGGACATCAAGCCAAATAAGTAGTCATGGTTGCGTTTGCTCTCCGTGTATGTTGATTCACGGAGAACACGATATTGCTTTTGATCTTCGCCTAAGACTTGGACATCTAGAATCCGATAGGTAGGCTTGAACCTTGATATACCGTGATGGGGATTGGACCATCCTCATTGAGTTTAATCTACATAGCTGCTCGTTGATCGCGGCGTCGCTTTTGCTCCCGCCATCACAGCTCTCCGAGCCTCCCAGGTCCGTCAAGCGACCCTTTCTTGAAAATAAGGTTTAGGCCTCAAGTCATCCAACAGTGGTAATTCATGCTCGTAATCACAGCTCAAAGCGGCCGGTTTCCACTGAAGGTGGGAGGACAATCAGGTACGCCATCCCGAAGGCTGTATTCAATCGCTCACTTCTGACAGAGACGTCTTGATAGTTAGACAGCGTCCAAGCGCAGCAACGGATCTCGCGCGGCGGTGCGTCATATATCATACTAATACAGCGTATCAGTCCTGTCCTTACGACTCCTCTTCCACCAGCGATACCTCCCTCCCCTGATCTTGGCACTCATTTCCGCTTCCCAGGTATGAGCTCTCATATTCAAACTTGCACAGACCTTATTCTAACTTCGGCAGGCTATGAACGCTGTTTTGGTCGGCACAGAAGGCGACTCACAGAAAGCTATTGATACAGGCTGCAGCTATAGCAACAGCATTGACGACTCTGTGCTACAACAAATTAAATCGTTAGTGCAACCGCATAAGTTGTACCTGTGACTATCTCAGGTCCTGATACTTGATGCTAGTGAGGTTGAAGAGTGCCTGGCCGGGTTAGCGAAGGGCCCTCGCATCACTTGGTTGAACACACTCCGTCCTGGGACTAGACAGCGTCACATCGAAGCGTGCAAGACACGCTTGCAGACTTTACAGAACGTGCGTATGTAACACAGGCAGTGCTTGTTCCTCCGACATTGCACCTTCGCATACAGATATTGGCAGCGGGTCTGCGAGACGGCCATGCCGTCAGCGTCGAAGAGTTGGACAAGCGCATCGCCGACATCGAGGTATATACCACCACCCACTGGCGTCTGAGTCGCCCCATCTGGCTTGGCCTATTCACACACAGCGTTCTTAGAGCTCAGTGAAAGCAAACGGCGAACGCCAAACTGCGAGCGAAGCATTGTCGCAGGATGCACAATGCTCGATTGCAGAATCTGATTCCCAATCAGGTTCGTTTACCATCGAGTACGCCTTTGTTTTATTTTCGGAGCTGGAGCAGCACTCATTAGATTCTCAGTTCCTCCCTTGGATTGGACACATCCCCTGAAAAGCCCGCCGGGTATGTCCCATATATACCTTTGTAAGAATAAATGTAATCCAGTGCCCACAGGAGGGATATCATGCGCGATTTGCCCCTCTTGAAACCGACCAGGGTCCTAACGGGCGTAAATGGTGCAGCTGCTGTGATCCAGCCTGTGAGCTTGGAGCAAATGCATTCATATCCTGATGACAGGACGAAGAAGTCAGTTTCAGTACCATGAACTTGTACCTGAATATCTCTTTATCAGTATTTGCTCCAGCCGCCTGCTTCGCCTAGACACGCATAGGGATACCTCGAAGCTGAGGAATCTAGCGCTGGTGGATCCGGATGCATATTTCGTGCCTTCGAAATACCTCTATGTCAAAGACAGCTGGAACTGCGGCATCTTCTTCGCAGTGGGGTTTTGCTCATGGAGCTCTCTGCATCTTTCCGTCGATCAACCCCAGATTTGCGTTACCCCTTCCCAGACGACGTGGCCCAGGTTGTGCGCGGTGGTGGGGGCCGTCTTCAAGGCTAGATGTCTCTACACCTCGACGTTCCGAAACGGCGTCGCGTTCTCGACTATGCGCAGGATCTGTGAGTCGCTATCCTTATCCACTTAACGTTGCATCCTACCCAAAGTGTTAGCGGCGGCTTCCCCGTCTCCCAGCCAGCTTCCGAGGCAGGCTCAACCAATTCAAGGAGGCCACAGTAAGAATGCTGAGCTAATTTTTGGCTTGCTCTGACCTTCCGTTCTTTCGAAGTTTACCCCCAAGTCCGGGCATACAATGATCCAGGTAGCAATCTCTCATGATTATGGCCTTTTATCCTGAAGTCTTTGCTAGTGGAAGTCTTCGACGGCAGACACGACTCTTTCAAGCTATGCAAATATCGCCACCTGCCACGTTTTCACGGGCCAGTACCAGCCGACGCCGCCGTGGTCGTCGTCTACACAGTGTCTCGCTACGAGAACAGAGGAAGGATCAATGTAGAAGGTCTCGAGGGCTCCGTTGGCTTCAATGTTCTTGATGTGATCGTCCTGTCGAACCCGGGCGAGTGCTCGTGGGATGGTATCGGGGGAGGCGACGAGGAATGCCTGGGTGTACTCCCTGATTGTGGTGACGAGTCTGATGGCACCCTAGACGATGAGTCGGATGATGGGGATATCATTTAGTCGATGCCAGGATTGTCAGTGCGCCCCAGACCGAATATGTTCTCTGTCTCATCTGTGTACCACCATTGGTAATGTGGCTGTGTATTCTTGATATAACACGCTAACGCTAGCACCCCCACTGCAAATGTATGATTTTATGCCTCCGGCCATGAGTACCTGTATGCCGACTGCCCTCCACCTGCCTTATAAGGGAGGCATTTAATCGGTCGCCTTTGGGAGACTAGAGTACCTGGGGATCCCGAGCGTAGTACTATGAACCTCCTAGATCTCCTCATCCTTACCTTTCGCGGTCTCCTCCTTGCACTTCGCCTTGTGATTCTGCCAATCCGCAGTCTGACAATCTCTCCCGCAATAAGAGACGTATTTGCAACTACCAGCCGCTGCATCAGCAAAGGTCGATCACCGCTAGACATGGGCGCGCATACCTGCTGCATATCCTCGCCTCCGCACCCCATCTGAACAGTCGGTCCTCCAGCACGGGGTCCCTTGTCCCTTTCTTACGAGCCTGCTGTATTTCGAGCAGCGCAGCCTTCTCCGGACAATTCTTGTACTCGCACCCGAACAGGTCAATGCACTCCCATCGCGCTGGGAGTGACATGACGGACCAACTGTGGCGCTGCCTCGTCGCCCGAGGCACGTTCTTGTACTTCTCGAGGAGGTGCATCCAGTCCTTCACGTTCTTGACTTTCTGCTGTCTCTTGCCGTTGGATAGGCGCCGGTAGATGAAGTAGAAGATGACCGCGTCTCCTGGGACCGAGCTGGCTGCTTCGAAGGGGGCAAGACCGTACCTTGAGTACATCTGGTGCATCATGTTGGCGAAGACTGGCGTTGCCTGCAAATTGAATGAGAATTTTACCGAAAACGAGGTGAATGAGATGTGAGTTGCTCACCGCTATCTCATCTCCAGCAAATTCCACCTTCCTAGCTAACTCACGAGTAACTGCTGCCAGGGAGGCAGGCGTCTGGCCGATCCACACTTGATCAGGCAACGTCTGCACGACCTCTTCACAAACCGACTCCGAGATGAAGCTTTCCACCTGATGAATGGGTCAGCATCAGCTCACCCTCTGCCAAATCACGACTCCTTACCCAGTCACCAATGAACGACCCGAGTCCACCGGCTTGGCAAAACTTGATGAAGGCCGCGCGATTGCGATAGAGGGGTATCATCGCGGCGGTGAGCGCATCACCCAACGCAGCGCGGTACAGCTTGCTAGTCGACCACTCGACCAGACGCTTCATAGCCTTCTGGTACCTCTGCTTATCCTTTGCATCCTTGACCGGATTCAGTACGAATGCCACGAGCACGTCTCCTAGGAGGAACGCCATCTGAAAGGCGGCCTGGTCGTTGTCCGCCTCGTCATAATGGTCGAAGACGGCGTCCTTTTCCTCCTGCTCGACTTCGCGGCCGGCTTCAATGAGGTCCTTCGCACGCGCGGTGGCCTCACGGAAGGGTCCAACGTCGATGGGCTCTTCGAGGATGAATTTCTCAGTTTCGGGAGCGGTCTCGAGAAGAATACGCAGGCGCACGGGGCTGAGCTGGAGGAAGACACCAATCTCGTGCAGCAGGAGCCCCACATCTGCTATATCTTGTACGTCGCAGAATTTGAATTCAGGAGATTTTTTCCCAGTTACCCGGGCGTTGTAGTAGACGCGCAGGAGCTCTTTGAGACGCTTCAAAAGACCTGGAATCTACCTATTTTTGAGACAACAGCACAACTGTGTGGATTCCAGGGCCCGTACCTCCTTCAACTCTTCCTTGAGAACTCCGTTTCTACGCAGTAAAATGTCATGCATTCTCTGCACAGTGGCAGTCATCCCGGTGGGTATGGGAGGGTCCATTAGAGGTGCTGAGCGCAGTGTACCCATACACGCCTCTCCGAATCCCTTGAGCGTCGCTCCATGGTAAGCGCTCCTTACACGCAGGAATACCTGGTTACGGACAAGGTCACCGGACAGGACGGCTCGCCGGGCGTCCAGTCGCTTTTGGGCGATTCGGGGAAGGGTATTGGAGTCTATGGGACCGTTGAAGAGCTCTTCCATGGCTCTGCGATCCTGCGGAGGCCATAGGAGGCACTGGGAGCAGTTTTCGGCGCAATAATTAACGCGTCTGTGGCTGAGCACGTGCAGCACGCGACAGACACGTGGCGCGGCTGCTGCCACATGGACGCGAGACACTTTCCTTTCTCCCTTTCAGTTTACTGAGACAATCAAGTTCAGTAGGAGACTGCGCTATTGACTTTGAACGTATCATACTGTGGCAGAGGGCTTGAGGATTCTTCAGTGATTTCCAGTTTGCATAGGACTCGCTCGCACGTCGCCCGACAGCTGGAGGAGTACCGTTAATGACCGCAATTGCTATCGCTGCTTCAACGCCGTACTTGGGTGCCCCTGTATATCATTGACGGTTCGTACCTTCCAGCCCCATGCGTGTGCCCTGGACCATAGGACCCCTGATAATAGGTATCAAGGCTTTGTGGAAACGCGGACAAATCAAGCCAAATTAGACCTCACCAGGCCTTATTTTTCGCGGACAGAAAGGCCCAAAAACGGGTGCACGTCTGATTTTTTTCGCGGACATATATACCATCCGCTATCGATGCCTTATGCTTGTGCGGACATCTATAGTCTCGTGGTCCAGGGGTTACCGCTTGACCCATGTACGATTGGTTGATTCCTGGATACTAGGTTCGATTCTCCATGTAGGCATGACTTTTCAACTTTTTCTCTATACGATGGATGTGGCCATTGTGGGTCCCTATCCCATCTCATAGTAGACTATGTCTATCCAGCATTTATTAAGTTATTGTAGTTCACATACTAGAAACATGACTGTTTCTATAACGAGTTCCATCTTGAATCGGAGATGGCGGAGTTGGCTCCCGCAGTGGAAGAACTGGCAAAATTCCGCCGCAAACGCAAGGCGGCGAGCGGTGTGGACATGATTTCTGACGGTGAATAGAGTGGTGCTATAGATATACATTACTAGAAGAGCAAAATTGATACATTTTAATGCCTTATCCTACAGCGCGGACAAAGGTCTTGTAAGCAGAGCCCTGATCAGAATCGCGGACATTTTCGGCCAAAATCCGCTCAGGCCACATTTTTCGCGGACAAAACGGCACCAAATCCGGAAATTTGGCGCGGACAAAAAGGTCGGATTCTCAGGATTCAAAATAAAGCCTTGATACCTATTATCAGGGGTCCTTGGACCATTGGTCTTTTGCCTGCACCGCGTGAAGGGCCTTCGGCAGTCGGGACAGAATGCCGAAAACAGTCGAGCTCGGCACATGATGACAGAGATACCCTCATGCAGTCTATTCTCGATCCATTGCGATCCATATGGACCGCGTTGGAACGTTGGTGGCGATGAGCACAGGCCTTTTCGCATCTTCGACTGGAACCCCCACCTGGCCTTGGGCGTCTTATAAGCCCGGACTACTTACTGGTTTACCTGGACTTTACTGACAATAATCATGACTTCACCGAACGGTCTTATCTGCTTCACGAACTGCCTTCTTCCGTTGGAGGATGGAAGCTTGGTCGAGAGGGACCTGTGGATAGACGAGCGCCGGGGTATTATTCTGGATTCCCAGGTGCGAAGTAGTCAGAGCGCGAAACAGAGAATGGGGGCTGAATAGCGTCGGCCAACAGCGGACATTCTTCCTCAGGAAGGAGCGGCCGGACAGAATTATCGACCTCGGTGGCAACATCCTGAGGCAGGTCCATCTCACCGCGCGAGGATATGGAGCTGATGTTATAGACTTCAAGTCCTGGATTGATTGACATCCAGATCAACGGAGCATACGGCTTCGATTTCTCTGTATACGAGGGAGACGATGAAGCCTACAAAGAGGGGATGAAGACGGTTGCGTTGAAAATCGTAGAGACAGGCGTCACTTCGTATGTTCCTCCCATCATGACCGAATGACTTTCTTATCTATCTCGCCTAGTCTCGTACCCACCCTCATCGTAAGTACCCATTACAACTCTCATCCATCGTCTAAGTAAATGCGGGTGCGTTAGACCCAAGAAAAATCCCTCTACCCCAAACTCCTCCATCTCCTGCGCCCCTTCTCCGTGCCCAACTCCGCCAACCTACTCGGCTGGCACGCCGAGGGCCCCTTCATCCAGATGGCGAAGCGCGGCGCGCACGCGCCGCCGTTCATCATCCCCGCTCCGGAGCGCCTCAAATCCTTCGAGGACGTGTACGGCGCCGAGAACCTCGTGCACGCCGAGGACTGGATGATGGAGGACGGCGAGACCGATCGTGTAGGTGTGCGGATTATCACCGCGGCCCCTGAGATCGACGGCGTGATGGACACCGTCCCGGAGCTGATCAAGCGGGGGGTCGTCTACTCCATCGGCCACAGGTGCGTCGTATGTCGCGAGCGCTACGGTTTGTCCGGGCGGCCATTGTACTAAGTATTTGAGCGTAGTATCGCAAAGACGGACACGGCGACGCTCGCGGTAATCCAGGGCGCGCGCCTGATTACCCACTTGTTCAACGCGATGCCGCTGCTGCACCACCGGGACCCGTCGATCATCGGCCTGCTCGGCGCGTCCCCACACCTCTCCTCCGCGTTCACGCCTCTCGCCACCCCCGTCACCACGCGCACGCCAGGGTCGCCCGTGCACCCCGTCTCGCGTGGTGGGACCCTGCGCCTGCACCACGGCGGCAAGGCGACGTCGGAGGCGTTCGACGAGCACGAGACGCCGCCGCAGACGCCGGTGGACAGGAGGGAGCTGGCAATCAGCAGCGAGACGATTGCGCAGCGGTTGAGCCAGAAGGGGGGGAGGCCGGAGCTGCACCTTGATAAGGGCGAGACGGCGGACATGGCGTTTGAGAGGCCGTTCTACGAGATGATCGTGGATGGGATACATTCGCATCCCAACTCTGTGCGGGTAAGTGGTATGGCGTTCGGTGAGTCAGTGGGGGACTGACAAGGTGAGGGCTCATAGCTCGCCTATGGAGCGTATCCTGATGGGTGTATCCTGATAACGGATGGTGAGTCCCGCTGTGCTCAGAGCGACTAGTGTATCGGGACCGTTCACTTTACTTTGGGATAGCCATGAAGATCCTCGACCCGCACCTCAAGGACGGTGTACATGAATGGCGTGATGGGAAGAGATTCGTAAAGGAGGGCGACAAGCTATACCTGGAAGGGACGGACACGCTCGCAGGAAGGTATGCATATGAGACTTAACAATTTCGGCTCCGACTCAGTGTTGATTGCATTGCCTGGTTCTCACTCTTATTCGTGTCAGTGTCGTCACCCTGGACAAGTGCGTCCGCAACTTCTCGCGCTTCACGGGGTGCTCGCTCGGCGAGGCGATTAAGTGCGCGACCTACAACCCTGCAAAGTAAGCACCCCTCACTCGTCGTCTTCGCTTCGTCCTCTCGCTCAACGTCAGTGGCACTGTCCAGGTGCTTGGGCATCGAGAACAGGAAGGGCACGCTCAGGCCGGGTGCGGATGCGGATCTCGTCGTGTTGGACAGGAAGGGGCATGTCGTATGTACGTGGGTGAAGGGCAAGGAAGTGTGGACGAGGAGCGGATCGCAGGTTGTGGCTTGATGGAGTTCCCGTTTGGATCTGCAGCAAGATGTTTCTATCGTGAGTCGCTTCGGGCCATGAGTTTTGTGTGCCAAGATAGATTGCCTAGTTCGGGGACCACTATGTATGAGTAGTGATATATTTACGGGGCAGAATATTGCACAAGGGTCATGGATCTGTGCAACAAGACAGCTGCCACTCGCAGCAGTTGAACCGCACCGTGACAGACGCCATTCTGGCTAATTTCGCCATCCTCTCCTGCTTGGCTAACGCTGCGTTTGCAGGAACTAGCAGTCGTCTAGTTCAATTGCAGGTTACTGCGCTTAAAAGTGTTGAAAGGGTGTAGAATTCCAGCAAAGTGAAATAGGTGGGCGTTAACCTTTGCTTCAGGGCTCCAACCTTTTAGTTTATTTACTGTTTTAAACGGTTTTTTGGTGTAAGTTAGATATGATATCTGCTTGAACTAATCTGGCACCACGGAAAGCTCATATAGGCTGTCCATGTTTAATTCATAGATGACTTGGGGGGCTCAGGAGAGTGTACTCCAGGCCTTCGACGTTTTACCGGCCTCAGGCCACGAGCCACAAGGACAACCGGCTTCGACGGTCCTCCCAGTATGTTAGACAATGTCACGTATGGCTTTCGGGAGCTCTTGGAGACATCAGGGCATTTTAGAGGGAGCAAGAAGTCTCTTTAGCATACGAAACAGGCTGTTTACTGGTTATTTACTGTTTAGTTTACTGGTTGTTTATGTTTATGTTTACAAGAATCTGTAAACGTATGGTTGGAGCCTTACTCCCTCCTGCCTCCATCATAAATCGTGACCCCGACCTAACCTGCCATCCCTGGAAAGTATTTAGGAGGACCATAACAAGCTATGTCGGACGCTAGCGACGGCCTTTCTACGCTGTCCCTTCCGCCGGAAATTGTCATCCTCGTCTTCGAGCACGCAGCTGCATCCTGCAAGGAGAGCGCCTGCTCCATCTCTCTCGTCTCCTCCTGGGCCCGCGCAGTCGCACTCAAGCATCTCTTCTCAACTCTCGTAATCCGTGGGCGTGGGCGCATCTCCAACCTGACGCCCTTCCCAGACGCGATAGGGTCTCTCGTGCGCAATCTCTGGATCGAGAACGTCGGCGCCAACTGGCGCAACGCGATCCCCTTCTTCAGCGTCATGCCCTCACTCGAGTCCATCGCCCTGCCGGGATTTTACATGTGGGCGCTCTTGGAAGCCCTCAAGCACAACGACAAGGAGGACACCGATCGTCCCAACAACAACCGACACTTCCGCTGCGCGCAGATCTGGATCATCGACGAGGGACCCCTCCAGATCTGGCGCATGTTCCAGGAGTGCAACGTCGGGAGCGCGTTCCTCCGCGGGATCACGCACCTGCGCCTGCATGCCCTCGGCATCACGACGGGCATTCCCGCCCTCCCGTGTCTAACGCATCTCGAGTTCCCCGCGAGGGAGCTGTACGCGCACACGTTCTCCCTGCTCGACGGCGTGCTTATGCAGAGCAGCATGCAGAAGCTTGTGCTGACGGCGCGCAAGCCGCGTGCGGGCATCCTTCCGCCCTACGGGCTCGCCGATTTTGCGCTGACGCTCGTGAAAGACTACGTCGACGGGCGGCGGGACCGCATCCCCACGACGCGTATATACATCAACCTCGCTGAGCGGGACAGTAAAGAAGTCAGTGTTCGTCAGTGGAAGGACGAGGTAGCTGGGAATAGGAGCATCTGGGATAATGCGATCCCTTTCGACGCGTTCCTCGATCGCACGTTCTTCGCGCATTTTAATTTCGGCGCTGGGATTGCAGCAAGTGCAGATGGTTTCTAGGACTGGGCTGACCATGATGCTTTCTTGTTCCGTAGTAGATCGCTTGCCAGAATTTACGAAAGAAAAATTCCGAGCGAGGTTTGTGCAACTCAAGTGCAACTGCAACCTAAGGGGCTCTCAATGGATTCGTACGATACTTTCGTCCAAGAGAGTCATTCAGTGAGCGCTTTCATTCACGACATCTCGACCGAAACTTCTACATTAAGTGGGTGGATTCAGATCTACCACGACCCTAGGGAAACTGACTGACGCTCATGATCAGGCGGTGACCCTGTTACAGCCCGGAACGACAGACTTCACCCTTTTGTCTTCGCCCGTCTTCGACTCTTCCCCTCGTAGATGCGTCACTAAGCGACTGGCTCGAACGTACGTCTGGCCCTCCGAAGAACAAGAACTGCCTGGTACGAGTGTCAGCAATTTCATTTGGGTCCAGTTTGGAGAATGCGCACAGCAGCAGCAAGTTGCGGCCGACTTTGCAGAATAAACAACAATTATACGACTATATGACGAAGGAGGCCGCTGTCGAGGCGAAATCCGACAAGCTCAATGAAATGAATGAGGAAGAAGCTGCCTGGCGAATGCAGCTCACTGGCAGGAAGCTTCTGGGCGGTGAGCGCGGCACCCACGGTATGAGGCAGGTACGTCTTAAACTTCGAGCGTGATACTATTTGCTTGTACTCCAAACAGACCTTCATCTTAGACGTCCTCGGACAGGTTTCACGAAGTTGTACATTGTCAGAGCCTGAGGGCGGTCCTTCAAGTTCGGGAATCGATATTGCAGCCACCCGGCGGCTCCGGGCCGCCGCAAGCTTCAGTCGAAATGGCGAAGTTATTCCGTTGGCCAGCGGTCACGGTTCTGCGAGCAAAACTGTACCTGTGATGGCCTTGTGACCCCTTCTCTCGCGATAAATGCGACGCCTACTCAGATGATGTCCTTGACAGTCGACCGCGATGGCGAAACTGTGGGCTCTCCTGCTGATCGCTCTCGCAGAGTTGAGCGCCAGTCGTGCATGGCCAGGGGACCGCCCGTACAAGGACCCCATTATCCCTGGATTCAACCCTGACCCGTCGTGCACGCGCGTCGGAGACCAGTTTTATTGCGTGAACAGCTCGTTCAACACGTTTCCTGGTATTCCAGTCTATACGTCCAGAGACCTCATTCACTGGGAGCAAATCGGTGAGCCCCATCATCACAGGTGCATGAGGGTCCGGGATTGAGGCCGTGGTCATGGGCAGGGAATGTCTTGTCGCGGCATGAGCAGCTTCCGCAATTGGCTCAAGTTTACGGGTTTACTAGCGGTATCTGGGCTTCCAGTAAGCACTGCTCGTACGCTCTGCTTGGAATCCTCGTAAGCGAGACGGTTTGTAGCCATCCGCTACAACAACGGGACCTTCTACTTGACGACCACCCTAGTCTGGGACAAGTTCGCCGCCGATGACCCGACGCGCTGGGACAACGTCAGTCCACCTTTCCCGCTCCTCACCGATTGCACCATCCCATGATCCCTCAGATGATATTCACGACGACAGATATATACGGTGACAACTGGAGCGACCCGATCCACTTCTCGCCTCTCTTCCAGGGCTACGACGTGTCGCTGTTCTGGGACGACGACGGCAAGACGTACGTCCAGGGCTCACATGCGTGGCACGTCTCGCCCGGGATCTGGCAGTACGAGATTGATCTGAGCAACGGGTCAATATCGAACTCCGAGGTGCTGTGGACCGGGACCGGGGGCCTTGTGAGCTCGACTGTGCCATTCATTCGATTCTACTTGTAATAATGGTGTATGGGCAGGCGCCCGAGGGTCCGCATGTTTACAAGAGAGACGGGTATTACTACCTGCTGATTGCAGAAGGTAGACCTGTCCCGGATTGTGAGCACTCAGACCACTCACCACCTTCGTTTAGGCGGGACCGGTGTGAACCACATGGTCACCATGGCGCGCTCCAATGCTAGCATCCACGGCCCCTACGAGCCGTACACGCACAACCCCGTCCTGACGAACGCCAACACGACCGAGTACCGTAAGCACCCACTGCACGACTAATACAAGTATCTGATGTATCCTGCACCGCAGTGCAGACGGTCGGTCACGCGGACGTATTCGACGACACAGAGGGCAATGTGTGGGCAGTCGCGCTCGCGACACGGAACGGGACGTGGGACTATCCCATGGGTCGCGAGACTGTGCTAGTCCCCGTGGTCTGGGAGACAGGTATCGAGGATTCCATTGCCTTCACCCCTCTTCACCTATCCCACTTGATACTTAGGTGCATATCCGCTATTCAACCCTGCGGACCCGCTTAGGGTGACCGTCAACATGACTGGACCCCTCCCTCCACCTCGTCCGGTACGCTATTCACGCTTCGCAGAGCAGGGGTGAGGAAACTAACCTACTTACTGACAATTGCTCGCAGCCCCTGGCGCACCCCGACGGCGGCGTCCTAGTCGGGCACGACCAGACGATCACTTTTTCACCGAATAGGTCCCTCCCCCGACAGCTGGTCTACCTCCGTCTCCCGAATCCGTCCGCCTACATACTCGCCCCTCCCTCGAACCCCCACTCACTGTGTCTGATCGGGTCAGCAGCGAACCTGACGGGGCCGGACGGTATCTCGGGCACGTCGACGTTCATCGGACGGCGGCAGGAGCACGTCGAATTCACGACTGACGTGGATCTCCAGTTCTCGCCCGGGCAGGATGGCGAGGAGGCGGGCATAACTGTCTTCCTGCAGCAATTGCAGCATTTCGATCTGGGTGTGGTCGCGCTGAACGGCACGCGGTACATGAGGGTGAAGACGACGACGCATAACTCGACGGATGGGGATATGGCGGACCCGCTGTCCAGGCCCGGCATGGTGGAGTTGCCAGGTAATGTCGGGCACGACTTGAAGCTGAGGGTGCAGGCGGTGAATGCGAGCACGTACGTGTTTTCGTATGCTGAATCAGGGCAGGGTGCTGGGGAGGGGTGGAACGTCGTTGGGTATGGGGACGCTAGTGAGGTTAGCGGCGGTTTCACGGGGGTGAGTGCACAACATGATTTCCGCTGAGGCGTACGATGCTGAACGGGTCTTCTGTAGACTATAATTGGGATGTATGCAACCGGGAACGGGCGAAATTCGACGTCCCAGGCTTGCTTCAGCACATTTTCCTACAGAGGCGTGCAGAATGTGTATTGACTGTGACGGAGTGAGGTGCTTGCATAGTAGCGGGAATATGTCTACGCACTTCCGATCAAAACCCCTAAGGTTTCAACGAATGACGGTGCGGACGCGACTAGTCAGAGCTTCTACATGTCGCATTTCGGCGAGGCAGACAGTCTCGCCGTCTAAGTACCATGCGCACTTTGACAACGTCTGTTGCACTAAGGGTGGCCAACAATTAGGGAGAATGGTGGCGACGACAAAGTGCATGGCTAACCACCATCAGGGTGTCTAAGCAGGTCCCGACGAACAGATGGAGTGCATTTGGACTCGCTACCACGGAGCAGACGAGATACAACGCAGTCGAAGGCGCAGCTTCGAGTCACTGCAACGTCAAAAGTGCAGAGCAGCGCAGTAGACAGCGCCGCTTACAAGGCAGTCAAACTTGCACGATGTGGAAGGCAATAAAGCAGACAGACCCTTCTCCATTCATGTGATGTTGTAATGAAGTCACCGTATCAAACGCGGATGCGCATCCACGAGCACAAGTCGGCGCCAGACGCAAGGTGCACATCACATAGTTCGCGACACACCCACTCCAATGTGAACAGGCAGTCCATACCTTGATATCAAACGACCTCCACTCCATCGAAGAGTATACATGCATCACGGGAAATGCAATGTGCAGGCCTTGCCTGCTCAATCGAGGGATGTCAATATGCCCCTACATCGCTGAGTGACCTGCGGTGGGCACTTATGGTGGTGACATATGTCGTCCCGCGATCGGCCAGACAGGTCTGTACTTAAAGTCAACACCATCAGTCCACTGGATGTGTGGTCTCACAGACAGTCTCCCAAGCAGTGGAGTCCGAAAGTGATCGCATGGGAACCGGAGCCTGAGACTCATGCGACGATGAGACATATACCAGGTATGGTCAGTGGTTGCGCATAACATTAAAGGGCGGGTGAGGTTGCCGGGGGGCGGAGGGGTTGTGGGAGTTGGGCATGCAGGTTGACCGGACCAAATTCACGGTAGTATTGGCAAAGCCATGTCTAGCAGGACTGCCTGCACGCTCTGATCATAACAATGAACAGTAAAGAGTCCGCGAAACATTGCCAGAGGCGAGCTAGCCTGCCATACCTGCCGGGAGTGAGTCCGTGTCGCGTTCACTGATGTCTCCTGCAAGAACGTGCGCCCCAGTGTGCTCGCTCGCGGAACGTTGGCCTGACCCCATACTGAGCGCGACTGCGGAGAGGAGCGTTGACCATCGCCGGGCTACGGATGTGCGGGTCGAGAGTGGGGGACGCTCGTAGTTCGGTATACCTGTCCTGTAGAGTACGTAGTCGTGTCGGGTACGCGAACATCATTCCCAGCGGCGATGCTCAGTGGGACCGCGGGAACGTGTGAGGCAGCAGCGACGAGGCAGCTGGACGTCGTGGAGAGTAGTCTCCAAGCTTGATCATGACTTGAGAGAGACGTACTCGGATCTTCAAGTTCCAATCGTTTTCTGACCGCAGCGACCATGGCCAACGTCGCAGACGTACGACTGGCGTGTTTACTATCCAATGTCGCACAAGAGGACATATTCTCGTTGCCGACCGACGAGATCGTACGCAGGGCGCTGCAAAGGCTCGCTGAGCACACGCAGCTCATTGTCTGGGGCTCCCTCTTGGATCGGCGCATGCGTCTCCCTCGGATACAAAAGGTGTGTCAAAGGTGTGTATAAAATTTCCCAAATCTCGAGCACATCCGTTGACCCAGGCAGAACTTCACATCGACAAGCTGGAGGCACTCTCAGCGATGCTCACCCAAATGACCCTCCCCGTCGCCACACTGCCCAACTCCGTCGTCAGCACTGAGGGCGACTTCCTGCGGCGGGGCCGACTTCACCGCGTCACACGGGCCACCGATTGCTTCGGCATGCAGTGCCTCCATCTCATGCCCGCCCCACTGCCAGGCTACACCGAGGACGATCTCGAGCCGGCGCCTCTGGACGGTACATCGCTGACGATGTACGTCCCGCGCCCCTCCGCTGTTTACGCGGGGATCCTACGCATGATGCTCAAGTATCCGCGGTGGTGCGCGGAGCAGTACAAGCTGCAGGCCGACCTCGAGCTGCTCGTCTACTACAACATGCTCGGGCCCGAGAAGATGTCCGCGGGGTACGAGCTCGAGGAACGCGAGATGGATAGGCGGGGTATGGAGGCGGCCGAGCCCGTCAGGGGCTGGGGGCGGGAGGGCCAGTGGAGGGAGGGCGAGGAGTGGATGGAGGACGCGCTTGTCGGGATTGTGACGGGCGAGAAGGATATAACCAGTCTCCCACATCTTGGCACTATGGCCCATGGGAAGATCGCATGACCGCGCAGATCCCGAGAGACATTGTTAGCCTTGTGTCTGCTCTACTGCGACCTACGTTGAATGGAGCCAGGTATGTCCGGCTGAAGACGATCACGAAGAACTCGACGGACTGGCATATGAAGGATTGACCGTCCCGCCGGGCGTCCCGATGTGGGGGACGAGTTGAGGTTGAGGGTTCAGGCGGTGGATGCGAGCACGTATGTTTTTTCACGTGTGTAACCAGAAAAGGGTGCGGAGGGCGAGAGGAATGTCGCTGGGTATGAGGATGGATGCTCATGAGGTCAATGGGGTTAACGGGGGTGAGTGAATACAAGAAGTCTGTTCAGGTGTATGCATGCTGATGGTTCCGGTGTAGACTATTATTGGGATTTATGCAACAGGGAACGGGAGGAATTTTCGTCCCCAGCTGCTTCAGCACATTTTCCTACGGAGGAGTCCAAGAGGCGTCTGATCATGACACTTTCAGTCCCGCGTATTATTTCAAATAATGCTTGGATAAACCCTTTAGCGGTGCGATCAAACGCAGTATGTGTATGTGGCCATGGTCACGCTCCTCTTCCTCCATCGCCCCGCCTCTCGTCGTGTATGCCTACGGGAAGTACCATTCTCCCGCGCAGCAGATGACCTCTATATAACGGCCATGGCCACGGTTGAGACCTTCGCGTTCAGTTATCTGTCGCAGACGGCGATGGCGAGCAAGCTACCGGTCTGGCGGACAATAGTGGGCCTCTTTGGAGCTGTCGCAGTTGCTGGTGGCAGCAACTGCACGTCCTTCCGATTCGACGACTATCCTGGCGCCGCACTGCTCGGAACCACGCTCTACGAGCAGGGCGCACGCGTGAACATCACTAACGAGTTTTCCAGCATTAATACGGACGGCCTCCCCAGCTTCTGCCGTGCGTGGAAACAAGCGCTATTTGGTCTTGTCAATGTTGTTCATGTAGCGTGCGTCACGTAGGAGTCGAGCTACAGGTTACGACGAACGCCAGCGCGGGCTCCTACGCTATCACGGAGCTCTGGCTTCCTGATGCGTGGAATGGCCGTTTTCTGGGCTTTGGGAATGGTGGTATCGGGGGAGGAGGTGCGCACTAATACATGATGTTCGCACCGGAACGCTGAAGTGAATCCGCTGTGCTCGATACTCGTGCATAGTCAATGTCGCCGACCTTGGCTATGTAGCAATCACTCACGGTTGTAAGTCTGCTTCCAATTGCAGGTTCGTTGCGACTGACGCTGAGCGAGTCCCTGTACGCAGTCGCTGGCATGTCGACGGATACGGGGCACAACTCTTCTGCCGTGGATGGTAGCTGGGCCGGACCAGGCAACGACGTTGGTATCCTGACCTAGTGTGAGGCTGTTTCTTCGGTCTGAGACTGTCGAGTAGAATGCCATAATCGACTGGTCCTGGCGTGCGATGCACCTGAGCGTCGAGGTAGGTAAAGCGGTCGTGGAGAGCTACTACGGAAATTCGGCGGCGAAGTCGTATTACTTGGGGTGTTCCACCGGTTCGTGCATCGCTCTTTCGCTCTTCGGTAACTCATGGCGGACATTCTCGGATGGGAACACGACATGTAGGCGGCAGACAAGGGTGAGTCGGGGTTGCCACCACATACCGTGACTGGCCGTTGAAAGAACTCACGTTCGGATACGAATATAAGGCTGAAAGAGATTCAGCGGTTCCCCGAGAATTTCGATGGAGTGGTAAGCACGAGCACGTCACCGAGCGTACTCAGTCGGTGCTATATCCATGGCACGTAGGTTCTGGGTTCGCCAGCAAACTGGCTGAGCCACCTTGCGCCATGGTCCGTTCACCTCGCCCTGGATGCTCTCCCGGTCGGCTCGCCTCACTCAATTTCGGACGATCTCTGGGTCGGTCTCATTCATGACGAGGTCCTGCGGCAATGCGACGGCATTGATGGTGTCCGTTATTAGTACTAAGTACCTGAAGTGACGGAGTTTTGATTGTTTTGTGACAGGTAAGCGACGGGATCATCAACGACCCTCGCGTCTGCAAGTGAGTGCGAGATATCATGTCTCTGTCAACAATCGCTTAGCTGTTATCGTAGCTTTCGACCAGAGACCCTTGCATGCCGTCCCGGGCAGAACACCGCCACTTGCTTGAACTTGGACCAGATACAGGCCCTGCACCGTGTCTACTCAGACTACTACGAGACCAATCAAACCTACATATTCGGGCCCTACTATCCGGGCGGCGAAACGGGATACATTGGTGGCATGGTCGGAACAGCACCTGCGCTCGGGTTATCGACTGACGTCCTCAAGTACTTTGTGCTCAAGTAAGTGACCATTGTTTTCTTGATCTGCTTTCGGTGATGCTTCACGCCGTGGCTCCAGCGATACAACTTGGGATTACACCACTCTCAATTACGACGTCATCAAGTTAGCGGAGCAGGTATTCTCGGGCACTGGGGATGTGAGATGTGGCGCTGGGTCTCATTGGTCCATTGCTCTGATTCTGCTTTTTCTGTAGGCTATCGATGCTAACCTGACTGCCTTCGCGGGGCCTAGCCACAGCGGAAAAGTAATACACTATGTCGGGTGGGCTGACCAAATAATTAGCCCGGGAAATTCCCTGCACTACTATGAAACTGTTCATGCCTTTATGCAAGCCGAAACCGGGATGGAGATAGATGATTACTACCGTCTCTTCACGGTCCCTGGGATGCAACATTGGTAGGTGATTCTTTCATCGAAGACATACATTTGACAAACGTGGTCATGGGACAGTCAGGTCAGTGCCGATCCTCAGCTTTTTCCTCAACTCGTCTTGATACAAAGACCAGGGCGGTTACGGTGCCAACGCTTTCGGAGGATCCGGCCAGGCAGCAGGTGGGATGCCTCCAACGTCTTACAACCCAGAGAACGACGTGGTATCGGCCATCGTAGCGTGGGTGGAGAATGGGACTGCGCCTGACTCCTTCATCGCGTCATATTATAACAACAACGATTTTACGCAAGGTGTTAATTTCTCGAGGCCGATATGCAAGGTTGGTGAGACATACTGAGTGTCGGTGGGAGAAGACACTCATGATCCACTCCTCCTTTGCAGTATCCCCGGAGCCTTCGATATACCGGAGGGGATGTCGACGCTCCAACGAGTTTCGCCTGTGTGTGAGGGTCGCGCTTTAGTCCGTTCGTGTCTACAGAAACAGCAGTGGTCAGGGCACTGTCGACAGTACGTACTTCCGTAGGGTCCTAATAGTCAACGCTTCTAGGATCCTCGGATGCGAATAGACTAAGATATTCATCATGCTATAGTACTCAAACAGAGGTACGTTGTCAAATAATTATACAGATGGGATAGGAAGTATATGCGAGCAACGGCATACTGACAAATCCGACATCTCCTAAATCATATCCCCGTCGTCGTCTGTCGACTCATCACCTGAAGTGGCATTCAAGTCATCTTTACAATCGGTGAGAACGCCCAAGCTCTCCTCGTCCCCCGTCGCGATGTTGTCCCACGAGCACTCGCCCGGGTTTGACAGGACGATCACGTCAAGCACATTGAAACCGACAGAGCATTCGAGGCGGCTGACACTGATCCTGCCTCTGTTCTCGTTGCATGATACAGTGTATATCACGACGACGGCGGCGTCCTCCGGGACGGGCCCGTGCAGACGTGGAAGGCGGCGATACTGGTCAGCCAGAATGACTCATGTCTGGCGTCGAAGACCTCCACTACCCATGAATATTAGACGAGGAGCCGTAAGCAAAGGAAATGACTACCTTGATCATTGTATGCCCGGACCACGGGATTCACTTTCGGAGGAAGAAATGATAGGAAGAGGCCTACACAAGAATTCGGCTCTCCTTACTATGTGCTCCTTTTATAGGCAGAGCCTGTCTCTGTTGACTGGGGGACGGGGAAGCCGTCGCTGATACCTCGAAATGAACAGAACATCACGTTCATAAGGATAGAAACTCACATATCCTGCGCATTGTCGAGAACGCTACGCCCTTGCGGAATGTCGATATGTAGAAACCTTTGGCATTAAGGACAGCACCGACCGCGGCGCACAGCCTGGGGCACGTTGTCTGCGAGGGCGTGACGCACATCTGGGGTTGGTTAACGGAAAGATGCAGAGAGCTCCACGCGCAGGACCCTACTGCGAAGTTAATACCGCGCAATTCGAGGTGTCCCTGATGCAAACATATCTCGAAGGTACGTAGTACTCTTCCGGATTGGCCAAGGTCAGATATCTCAACTTGGAGGTATCGTTGCCTGGATCCAGGACGGAGCATGGATGAGAGAGTGCGGCGGCTGCTTCCCAACTCTGCCAGGCATTTCTCCACCTCACTAAAGGTAAGTGTCAGCATTCAGAAAAAGCAGACCATCCCGATACATTGACGATTTAATCTGTCCTATCACGGGTCCATCGAAACTGAGGTTGTTATAGCTTCAGCTGGCGTCGGACGCTCTCCGCGAGTGGCCGTCTGCGCTAGCAGGACCAGCATTCAATACTTGCTGTATGACGAACACTGAAGACTCAAGATCAAGACTCGGCGGTATGGACGCTGAATACGAAGCACGGAAATTCTTACCTGCGGAACAACCATGAGTACTGAGCTACAGAACAGCAGGGAGGTGGGTGTCGCGAGGAAACAGCTTACCCTGTTGACATCTAAGTGTCCTCACCTCTGCGCTCTTGGAGTCTTCGCACAAGCCTTTCCCACCCCATCAGTGTTTCATCCATCCTGTCCTGTGTTTCTGACTATGACAAAGTGCTCTGTGATGGCTGTTCTATGGACTTGGCGAGCTTCTCTCCTGGAGCCTTCTCTTTCGACTTCGCACTGGCAGTTCTGTTTGGTTTTACACGTGGCACCATCATCTTCCACTTCTTCCGCGCGGCCGCCACAGTTCACATTCGCGCTTTCATCTGCTATGCTCTTTATCACAACTTCTACTTGGATGTCATCATTCAGTCGCTTATGCAGGCCATGACAGCCGTTTGCAGATCGTTAGGCCATCACTTCAGAAAGTCACATATAGTTGGAGTTTGTCGGACATGGTGCCAGCGACGTCCCAGGAATTAAAAGGAGTCCAAATGGTCTGATGTTGGGGCCTTGGGGACTTGAATTCCCCTCTCCGACATGGTCCGACTGTAAATAATTTTCAAGAAATGGGCCCATCAAACTGCAAACGGCTGGAATATGTTATGAGCTGAATAGAGCGTATTTGCAAGGCCCAAAGTACGACTTTTGATCCAAAATTTGGAGCTGCTGATCCAGAGGATTTAGCCGAGGGTTGCCTACCTAAACCGGTAGCCCATGCTCCACCCGTGCCGCAAAGTCGTCTGTAAAACTCATATTTCTCACTCACTCGACTTCATTCTTGTTCAACAAGCATCTACAGGTACCTACGATACGCCTTGTACAACTTTTGCGGTAGTTAGACACGATTTAGAGGAAACCGAAAATCAGCCGTACTTCGCTGAGAGAGCGTGCCGCGCTGATCCGTGAGTCCTTCAGAAAAGTGGAGCGCCTCTCTCCGCAAACTTTTGGGCCTTGCAAATACGCTCTAATATCTCACGATCAAACTTCGGCTCGTATGGCAGACACACTCAGCTCAAGCGCTTCGCCGACGCGGCTCGTGCTGCTGTTATCATGTATCTATGTAAACGAGAAAATATAGACCCCATTGCCAAATAACGATACACCTCGGAGCTCTTGCACGCGTTTGTGGCACTGGCACGCTAATTAGCGTCGGATCTCGATCGATCGCGTTTATTTTTGACCGCCGCAACAACCCATCGCGGCAGCAGCGCGTTGCGTTCTCTTGTCATCTGCTCTGTACTACGGTTGACCAGGAGTGTCAGGTCTATTTTGCATTTGCACTTCGCACTTGCGTTTGGCTGAGGGCACGACGTGAGTTCGAATCCCGCTGAGAGCAACGGGCAAGGGGCCGTGGGAACGTCCCGGATACTGCCGTACCCCTGTTGTCGCTGTGCTCGACGTTGCCCGACGCGTTGTCGACGCTGTTGTCGGCGACGTCGACGAAGGTTGCACTGAAACTCCCAAACAAATACTGAAAAAATTGTAATCCTTCTGAACAGGCATAAATTTGCAACTATTAGGGTGTAAATGTCTAGACATGTTTAGGTGTTGTGTGAAAGTTTGCCCTCGAAGAGTGTGCTGGATAGTGTGGCCATATTAGATTTGTCTTGTTGAAGTTCATCGTGGGTCGCGTCACAGATACCACACCACCGCATTTATTCTGCCGCTATTTTTACTCATCTACTGCCCATGCAGCATTTGCAGCTAACAGAGCACACATGTTGCTGAAGCCCGCAAGGCTGGCCAAGGGTGTGTGGCAGACGCCACAATTTCCTTCCCACACTTGCCGACTACCTAATGCGGTAGCAGGTCGGGACCGTCGAACATGCGTGTGTTTGCTCCCTTGCAATTCGCCACGACGCGTTACTAGTAGTATAGGGGGAATGCGCAACGGCGTCGGATATGGATTAGTTTCATTGACATTGGCGCGCACGTCAAGGCTCCCTATCTCAATTGTAGAGTTTGTCTTAATATTGAACGCACCTCTTGACTCGCAACGTTGGTTGTGCAACGACTTCTCGCATAGCTCCTCAAATGAACAGAATAATTGATATTAGATAGGTTGGTACAATAAGCTCAGAAGGAACCGATTTTTTCCTTGTATTTTTAGGAATATTCATCGCTTAACATTCGTCGACGTCGCCGACAACAGCGTCGACAACGCGTCGGGCAACGTCGAGCACAGCGACAACAGGGGTACGGCAGTATCCGGGACGTTCCCACGGCCCCTTGCCCGTTGCTCTCAGAGGGATTCGAACTCACGGCGTGCCCTCAGCCAAACGCAAGTGCGAAGTGCAAATGCAAAATAGACCTGACACTCCTGGTCAACCGTATGTACTCATCCTACAGATCAGGACAAATGGATACCCTCGAAAGCTTTCTCACCAGTCTCAGTACTCTCGGGGTTGGCGCTCTAGATTCATTCGACACAAACACCCTGTTCGTGGGTGCTCAAGAGCGTCACCGTTCACGGCGGGCTGACCTCTCTGGGGACCCTGTCAGAGAGCAGGTATGGCAGAGATTGACCAATGCGTACTTGGGTGTTGCACAGAAGCAGTTTGGAGAGGCACTATCTCCCACATCGTTCCGCCCTGCGCCTCTGCGCGAGCCGCCCGTTGCTACCGGAATGACGGATACCCTGGGGAAGATACAGAGTATCCTCATGAAACGTGGGCCCATCGCAAAGGATGAACTAAAAGAGGTCGGTGTAGTACTTTAGATAGTCCGCAAGATACAGATATAACATGACCTACTTAGATTCCGGCCTTGTTCAGACGCATGCGGACCCTCCTCCGCCTCTACTACAACGCCCGTATGGGCGAAAAGAAGACGTCAGACTTCAAGTTCTGCGACATCAAAGACGCCAACGACATCGGGCTACGCCTCCACGAAGTCGGGCTCTTCCTACAACTCAGCCCCGTGCGGCTGCGCGCCCTCATGGACACCGCCCCGGACATGGAAAGCTTCATCCTCGACGAGCCCATTGACGTCGGCAAGTACCGCGAGCATGCTGCGCAGACCGATGCGCTGCTCAACTCGGATGCGGACCTCGACGAGGAGACGCGCGACAAGTACCTCGAAGAGCAGACGACGTCCCAGAAGGACCAGGCAGGGTACCAGATGATGTTCTTCATCGCGGACATGTGCGTCGCCTTTATCATCAACCCGGCGAGGGACAAGAAGGACAAGGAGCGCTCGCAGAAGGCGCTGACGCGGCTGGTGGAGTGGTCTACCGTTCGGATGTACCGGGACGCCTTTGGCGACGCACTGACGGACGCGATGAGCCCCATCTATAAGAAGAACACGCACCTCGTCAAGTTCTGCCAGGCCGGTGGTTTGGGCGCTCTGATCGGTGACTGGGTAAGTCGACCAGGTGCGGGATTTCCGGTAATATTGACAGCGGTGGTATCAAGGTCGAAAGTACGTTCGCCAACACCATCTGCGCGCGCGCTCTTGAGGGCCTTCCAAACGAAGCGTGGAACCGCCAGACACCAGACTCGCTCGCAGTCGTCACGCGAGAGCTCACTGCCAAGATCGAGCGGGAGAGTGATAAAGTCACGGTGAGTCCCTCCAGCTCCTCCAGCAAGACAGCCCACTTAGCGCTGTTCGCAGCAAACTCGCATGTGGGCCAACATGATGCACCAAATGTACAGCAGGTACGGACTGGCCCCCTTCGAGCGTGCTGCAACGACTTCGAAGCACGGCATCATCTTCTTCTACTTCCTCCACCGGCGTGCCAGCAAACGGCAACAGAAGCTAACAGGGGTGGACGACTGGGTGAAGCTACTGGAGAAGTACGTGAACGTACCACAGGCCACGAGACGCCGACACGCGTGGATGATCATGAGTGTCCCCGACCGGTGGGAGTGTCTCGACCGCGACTACTATGGCTGCTGTTTCGGTGACTGCCCGGAGAGGGCGGCGTTGATGGAGGTGCAGCAGACGAGGACGAGGGGCCACCGGGATCCCGTTATTGAGGATAGGTTGTTTAGATTTGGCGGGTTGAGTAAGGCGTGCGATAGGTGGGCGTCCTGCTTGCTCGGATGGATTTCTTGCTCAGGTCAGTCTAGATGTAAGCACGTCTCCTATTGTGGCAAGGAGTGCCAGGCGGCGGACTGGCCAAACCACAAGCGAGTCTGCAAGACGGAGGCCGCGAAACACAAGACTGAGGAGCTCTAGACAATCTAGGGGAAGGCTGTGGCCGCTGCCTGCTGTCAGTGTAGTTGTGCCTGGGTATTCCGTTGATTGAGCGGGCCGTGTTGGGAAGCCTCGTACTCGGCCATTTCGATGTTGCGAGATGGCTCAGTGGTCTTGATCATTTACCATGAATTCGTGTTCTTCTGGTGGGCGGTACCGAAGCACCGTCATCCCGCACTACTCCACTTCGCGGGAAGTAATCAGGCCATCGCTCTGAAGCGCTGCTTCGTGATGCGCCCGCCCCATCAGACGAGGTACGGCATACCTTGCATACTATGTACTTATGGTGCTGGGACTTCAGCGTAAGGATATACTGCTAAAGTTGCTGCACTTACTATCTACTTCAATGCAATTGGAGACCGTCAATGGAGAGGAAACCAATCAACTTGCGGTACAGGTCTGTTCAAACTCGCGCTTGTCAATACCTCACTTCCGAAGGCCCGCATCCCCTTCGTGCCTACCGATGCTCCCGCGATCCTAGTGATTGCAGTGCCTGGGAAGTCGCATAACGGAGGCTCGTAAAACTGCAGCTTTCATGCCGTGACTCCGCAACGATGCGAGCGTCGGTGCCGTCCCAGTGGGTCCATGCGAGAATCCACAATATCGCACTCACCGCGGATCAGCTTGTTGGATCCTCAGGCTCAACTGAATTTGGGAATGTCAAAGACTGCAGACTTGCGAAAATCCAGGCGAACAGGCGCGCCGACAGCGACGTCGTGCTCATGTCCAGGTCGTTGCTTGTCGTATTGGTTCTTCTGCAGGAGGCATAAATACCGGTCGTCCTGGATGTAGAAGGAACACCATCAACTTCCCATTCCATCGATCCCATCCCCAATCCCAAAGCCAAAAAGAAAATGCGAACCACAACTTTCGCCCTCGTAGCGTGCTTCCTGGCTCTCGTCGGTTAGCGGAGATAAGCCCAGCGATTAGGCGTAGCTGATCACACTCTTCGTCGACAGGGAGCAATGCCGTGTTAGCAGTCCGCGCGCCCAGCGACGACATCTGCAAATACGGCTGTGGCTCGGAGTCAATCCAGGTAAGCGTTGACAGCACGTCATGGTCTTCGATAGCCCGTAAGTACTGAAATCCCACCTAGGCTGCCGAGCAAACCTTGGCGGTAAGGAGCCCCCCGCCTCCCGCTCCCACCCCGACCGAAGAGGTTTGCAGCTTCGGTTGCAGGACTAAATTTGCGGAGGTAAGAATCTGCGCACCTTTTCACCCCCGCTTGGTTTCCCAATTTCTCTCGGCTGAGGCGACTGCCGCTGAATCTGACCCCGATCCGTGAATGGAAGGAGCCGCTAGAAACGGAGCATTTCGGTCAATCACCTGGTTTAGTTTGATTGGAAACCGCCTTGCTATCCCTCGCTCATCACTTTCAAAATAAAGCATGTGTTGCTTACAACCGAAGTCATCTTACCCCCCCCCCCCCCGGCTTGTTCACATTTGTTGCATTTAGTCCTGCTTTCATTGATTGGAGCCGATATTCTGTCTCTGATTTAAACGTCCACGTGGTACTCACACCTGGGCGCCGTCTGAGGGCTCGAAGCTTGGTATAAGTCAAAGTAGCCTCGCGCTCGTCGACAGGTTAAGGTCACCCGTCAGTAGTCGTTCCAAGCGCAATAATCGCAAGCACCGCCTGTTCAACCAGAGGATGTCGACGCCCTACCTGAAAGGAAACATGTTGTACGGATATAGCGGGATCCTGCAGAGCGTAGAGAAGACCCGAGAGTCGACCGAGTTCACCTGGCAGCATGCCGTTGAATCCCTTGTTGGCCAGATTTCCCGAGCCATAAGGATCCCGGGGAGCCAAGCTAATACGGCGGAGAAAATGTGAGTCTTACATAAGGTTAGTCCGGACACGGGCGCTACAGTTCCTTGACTGAGGGGTGACCTGACGCAGGGCTTACAAAGAGGGTGGAGATCGTGGATGAGAGACTAGCCCAAGGTCCCGTAGCATGCGACGCGGTCCTCCGCAGTCTCCAGGTGGATGAGGGATAGAAATGTTTCAAGAGATCATCAAGAAATCATCAGCCCCTCCCTCGGGTCAACGAGAATGAGTTTCATAGTATGTTCGTCCTCCAAAGGTCAGGAGCTTGTAGAGTGTATGCGCGTCGTACGCACTAAGTTCCGGCAAACCAGTCGCGCATACATCGCGGTCTCTGATTGGTTCGCTCCTCCTTCGGACATAGAAAGCGCCGAATCAGTGCAAGTGTTGGAATCAGGATTCCCAAGCGAAGCCCGCCCAGTTCGAGGCTTCTGCGCCCGAGAAGATCAAGGAGTCGGATAGCGCCGTCGCAACCCGTCCACTGGCGGTTCGTAGAGGTCCAGTGACGACAGCGAGCAGGCCAGAGAGGTCGAGCGACATGCCCTAAGCCATAGCAAGCACAAAAAGAATTCACTAAAGACCTGTCTTCTACGCCTTGAACGAACCCTTGAATGACGACGCAAAGGCGTGTTTCGGCGATTCTTCAGTGGGAGTCCCATCCGCTAGTTCAGGCTACCAGTATGTCAATGATGCCGTATAGTGATGGCAGTCGATATACCACTGACACCCACATCTTCTCTTCTCTACCTTCGCATCTCCACTGCGAACGTACGCAAGCGTCCAGACCCTCCCTCTCTATCTCTTTGAGCCTGCCCAAAACGGCTGCTCCTCCATCTACGTTTGTTCCCGAAAAGGCAATTTCCCCCGATACAACAAAGGTGGTCCCAAATGCGGTAATCGGTGGCTGCTTTGCTCGAAGTCGTGTGTTTCCTTTCGCGGACGCTCCTTTCGACTTGGTTCGGGCAGTGGTATTGTGCGCGCTGATATGTGGTAGGGAGGTGCGGATGAGGATGGTGTATATAAAACGAGGAGGGGGTGAGGCGTCGCTACGGTCGCAGCAGTACTCGTGTCCTGCCCTTGTACCAGGCAGAACAACAGCTCCCCTTCACATTCCTTGGCGTACCCCTTCCGTACATCCATCTATCCCTCAATTCTCTAGAGATCCCCTCCTATTACTCTCCATCCCATCCCAACGCTATGCAGTCGAACACAAGCCTCCTCCTGCTGACCCTCTTTACAATCCTTTCATTCCGTGAGCGCATCATCTTCCTCGTACCGTGACTTTCAATGGCTAACATACCTTGTACATGAAGTTACCCTCCTCGCATCAGCATCCCCCATACCCGCCGAAGTCGACCTTGAAGGGCGGATATGCAGGTATGGGTGCACCAAGCGGGGCGAGACCCAAGTCGCTCGCTCACCGGAATTGGAAGTCGCGCAGGGGTCGCAAAGGCAGCCCTCTCCAAATCCAGAATGGCAACCTGCCATTTCCGTGAGCGACCCCGTCGCTCGGGAAGACAGCGCCGACAGCACATGCGTCTACGGATGCACCTCCAGCTCCCGGAGAGAACCTACACCCGAGTCACTTGAGGAGCTGTCATGACCTCTCGTGGCATCCTCCCTTCCTGCGTCGTCACTTCGTCGTGATCACCGACAATCCTTCCTGTCACCCACCTATAGCCCACGTACTCTCCCGCCAGCTAAAATCATGCCCACATCTCGGCATCCTCTCCTTACGCCCGCACCGCTCTTCGTCTTCCAGTAAATATTTCTAGTCCCTCGCATCCGACCACCTCTCCCAGGGTCTTTGACAGACCTCCAACCATCCTCCGCGGACTCTTCCCATCCCCATCCCCGGTACACGCACCTCCCATCTTCCTCGGACAACCCTTCGCATTCTCGTCCCCGACCCCTTACCTTACCGCCCCCTTTGCCGTGCCAATCCCGGCGAATATTGTATTGAAGTTCCCGTTCCCCTCGCTCACCCACCTTGGTTTATCGTTCATCCTTGGATTATTAGATTGATTATTTGCTGTCGCGTCTTGCCTATTGTTGTAGTACCTGTACCAGTAGTAATCTCTGCCTTGTCTTGTTTTGTCGTCGCAATCGCATTCGCTATCGATTTGTCTGCACACGTCTATATGCCTGTCTCCTCAGTCCACTCAGAAAAACATAGGCCGCGTTCAAATCATTGAGGACTTTGATGGTGCTCAGCGGACTTGGATGCGATGTCACCATTCACTCACTCAGGTAACATCCCTACCTCTCCTCAGTGCGATCCCGGCAAAGTCCCCTCAGGCGGTAAGCGGCGCGCTTGACCCGCTTAGGCCAATGCGCAAGCCGGAATATTCAGACGAAGGCATGTAAGCCGAGTAGACCACATCACTAGAAGGGAACCGCGCGCAGGGATCCATCGTATAAGTAATCTCCCCTCAGGCTATGCTCACCAAGGTGCACGCATGTTTGGATTTACCCCGAGCACCATGGGCGAGCGACCAGATCACTGCCCCGCCAGACTGGCGCGGGGCGTTATCCTGAAGAACGTCCATCGACTGACTTGCATACAAGACATCTGGTCCTTGGTGTCTGAACCGCCCAGACCAAGGTAAGCAGGACCGCGCGCAGGGGGTTATCATACATCGCTCCCTGTGCTCACTAGGGTGCGCGCATGTCTGGAGTCACTCCGAGTGAGTACCATGGAACACCGCGACAGGATCACTGCCATGCTATACTTGAGCTTGCGCGGGCGTCATCCTGAAGACAACAAATCAGAACTCAAAGCACGGTCGACTCACTTGGATGGAATAAAAGACCACCCTGTGTCTTGACTGCTGGTAGGGAATATTCCAATGCGTACATCAAGGACACATAATCCAACGGCCGACCTGACGCAGAATGCCACCATCAGCCAGTCCCACAAATCCACACACTCACGCATATACGCATACGCATGGCCAACGCATGTGTCACGATACAGCGTTGTATGCGGCGTTAAGCCACAACCACGACCGCCTGACCTCCCCCGCGCACGGGTCTACGAGAGAATAAATAGATTATGTACTAGCTATACGGTAGGTAATACGGGGTCTATGTAATCTAGTCGGCGGCTCCTCCCCTCCGTCTAACGTACTCGCGACTCTACTCTCTAAACACGGATCCTACAGCACATCTAGAAGCAAACGCAAGCGGGGGCGGGACGGGGGATAGATGAGAAAGGCAAGAGAAGCGTCCGTAGGAGGCATGATCTAATAAATAGGGAGACGGGAGAAGGGATGACGTCTAATAAAACGCAGAAGCGGAAACTATAGTCAGAGAAGAGAGAAAGAAGAGACCAGGGAATCTATACGGACGGGCACTACCAGCGCCCGAGTCTATAGGGCGCACTGGCACCGAGCACGCAGGCATCTACACGGGGCCGCTCCATCAGCCTCATGACCCCCCACCGCGCATGCGGACGCACCAGGGCGTTCTAAAGCACTTCCCGCATCCGCCTCTGCTGCTCCCTCACCCCCCGCCAGAACGCGTCCCCCTCCACCCCCTCCGTCCACTCCCCATACACCCCCTCCCTCACCACCAACCTCCCGTCCTGCATACTCATCTCCCGCAGCAGCCCCCATATGAACGACCTCGTCACGTCCTCCATCTTCGGCACCGTATTCACGCTCGGAAACACGCTCACCACGAGCGCCCGCAGCGCGGGCCGCGCGGCAAGGAGCGCGCGCACGTCCTCCACGAACGCGCGGTCATTATCCTCATTCGCCCGCGCCCGCCGCGCAAGCTGGAGGTGCGTCAGCCCGGGCATCGCACCCGGCGTGAGCGCCGCGAGCGCCTCGCTCGGCGCGGCATAGAACGGCGGCGGCTCGCAGAAGCGCAGGTGCGTCACCGCGCCGAACCACGCGTGCTCCGTCTTCACCGGGGGCTTCCTGGCTTGCGGCGGCGGCGGCGCGGCGCCCGCGGGGAGGTAAAAGGCCGGCACGCGCTCGGCGGGGCGCAGGTCGAGGAACGAGCCGAGCACGAGCTCGAACGGCGCGGGCGGCGCAGGCGTGAACGGGCGCGCGGCGAACACGGGCACGCACGGCGGGACGGCGAGCGCGCGCAGGCCCGTGCACGCGCGCGCGATGCGCGCGATGGCCGCTTCCAACTTGTCGTCGGCGGGCCCCGTCCAGGTCACCGCGAGCTTCTTGACGTGCGCGGCGAGGAAGGCGGGCGGCTTGGAGGCTGCGGTGCGCGCGAAGAGCGCGATGGATTTCGGGGTGGCGAGCGTGACGGCGGTGTAGAGGAGCACGTCGACGAGCGCGGTGATGCGCTTGCTGATGAGCGCGAGTGCGGGCAGGGGCCGTTTGTGCGTGGCGAGCGCGAGCTCGAGGATGCGCAGCGCGAGCTCGGCGGGGAGGGACGAGAAGCGATCCGGGCCGTGTGGGACGGTGAAGTAGATCGAGAGCCCGCGCGTTCGCGTCGTCGCTGTCGTCGTCGTCGTTGTGGTCGTCATCGTCGCTGCTGCCGTCGTCGCCGTCGCTGTCTAAGGTGAGGGTGCTTGGTGGTCCGAAAATTACAAGTCCGTTAAGTACGGTGGCGAGTGCGGGGTGGGCTCGGCACCCCGTCGGCGCGGCATCTCCCGACGCTCGTCATGGCCCTCCTCATCGCTCGCCATCTCTTACCCTCCCGACCGCGCACGACGGGCGTACGCGGGCTGGCATTTTTCGCCCGCTTTGTGTTTCTCCGGCGACCGGCTGCTGGGCGTTGATTGTCGACTTTGGGCCGTGCGCTGAGGAAAACTCGCCCTATCGATCTCGACTGACTCGGAGAAGGATCAACACGGGATCGTCTGTCTATATGTATGTATGTGTGTGTGCTGCACGTTGCAATTGCGTCTCGCTCGCTCGAGGCAGGGCTCTCGTTTTATGGACAAACACCTGGATCCACATCCCCCGGCCCCGGGGCGACGCTCGCTTCCCGATGCGGGGCACCGTCGGCTCCTGCCTCCATCAGCAACGGAAGCAAATTTGCGCGCGAGTCGCGTTCCTGGTTGGCGTCCCTGAAAGTTATTGCGCTGCGGGCAGGGTGCTGAGCGAGGTGCAATAGACGTACAGTACGGGGACATCTCACTGCGTCGCGAGTCCCAGCGGTCGGGATGGGGGCTTGGTGCGTCTGCCAATCAATCAAGGGTATCTGTCGCGACGCCTCGGTCTCTTTTGGTGCGGAGAGTGGTTAGTGTTGTCCCTGAAGCGAACATCGCGCAGTCGAGCAAACCAAGCACTTGCGTATCTTGGGGTTATGGTCTCTAATCAAGGCCCGGTTCGCTCTTCCCCATTGTCTTCTTCGCTTCTGTTGGGTCTTGGTGTCGCCTAAGCTCGGAGCACTCTTGAACGCGGATCACCCCAGAATATCTATCGTCGCTCGCGGCAACCGCTCATTCACCAAAATGTTCTGCGCCCCGCGAAAGGGAGGAGAGCTGCAGGCGTCAATCGCGTATTCCTCTATCTCTGTTTGCTATGGCTGGTGTTGCTCTGTCCATCGTTTGGCAAGAATCAGGAGATCGTTCTCCTCGGCGGGCAAGATGGTGTTATCGAGGACTGTATCCGGACACTCCACTTGGCGATCGTCGCTCCGGACCGTCTCCGGGATCGTCCTTGGTGCTCTATTGATAGTGGTCTTGCTCGCTTTTCCTCGCCTCGGCGATCTCCTCTTGCAGTAGCAGCTCCACCGAACCAACCATCCACATACGTTCTCGGACTGCCCCGCCCCGGAAGGAAGCTAGTGGAGGTTGATTCGTGGTCTTGTTCTTCCTGGCTATATCCGAACCGCCCTCGCCCCGACTGGCTCCCGTACAACCTTCCCCGTCGGCCGGGAGGTCTCCAATACGAATGACTCCATGTAGCCACTCATCCACGATGCGCGCGTCCCTGGAGAAACGTGCAACTGGTTGGATACACGGGTTGTGCTCGCTGGATGTATCGATGGAGGTGCCAACGCCGGGGAGTGTCACTGTTCCGTTTGATGGGCTCGGTTTCATCTCTCATCCCACTCTGAGTGTCGCGACAATGGCCTTGCACGCCTCGGAGAGCAGCGCTCGTCAGGTCCTACGTGGAAGAGAAGACCGACAGCATCTAGATCGTGGTGGGGTATCCCTACGCGTGGTTCCTCGCGTGCTGTGTGCGCCGCGTCCTATGCATCTTATCCTAGGCTAGTGCCCTCCCTCTCTAACCCGAGTAAGGCAGAATTAGTGGGCTTTCTTGTCCAGGTCCAACGTTTGCACTCCTTCTCCTCGGCAGAGTCCTCTTTGGGGAAGGAGCTCTTCCAGCAAGTACGAATCAACCATCTACGTATGTTCTGTCTCCTGCGGCATTAGGTGTAGGCTAGAACTGAGCAGAACCGGAACGCGAGTTCGTTCGTTCGAATGTCCCCAGGACCCCATCTCCTGTGGATGGACCATCCCGAACTGTCCTCGATGCTTGCTTTCTGGCCCTAACCGCGACATTCTCGCTTCCCATGCCTCGTGTTCGCCTTCGTCAGCCGGCTGCTCCCCAGTACGATAAGGGCGTCCGTCCAGACCCTCCCCCCTCTCCCCGACTTTCCGCATCCCACTGCGGCGCGCACCACTCCTTAGGCCTTAGGTCCCGCGCCCCATCCTTATCACATATGGTTGGAAATCTTCATTTTCTGCGCGTAGTCCTTGATGAGATGTGCGCGCCGCGTCCTATAGGCATCAGAGTTGGAAGGTGTGTGCGTCCGGGTAGTGCAGATCTTGCTCCTACCGGCTGGGTTTAGGAAGTCGCCGCGTCCGCGCAGGGCAGACGGGGCTTGCGCGTGGGGACACTTGAGTGTGCGATGCTACGCACTACATATATGCGATGCTGGTCATCCATATGATCCGTACTTATATGCACGAACGGCATCGCATACATACGCGGGAAATGCCCATTTCGGAGGTTGTGCACTTGGGAGCTCGTCGGTTATGCAGATCACGATGCAGCGTAATTCTCGCTGCCGTGTGCTCATTGCTCGACATTCCGCTGTTGCGGCGCATGCTACCTCCAACTCGTGTGCATCGGCGCGGTTCAGTCGTTGCGATGAGCGTCCCCAGTTCCGAGGGAATGGAGGAGCACTATGTTCTGGGCTTTGCAAGGCCATACGCGGCTCAGGATGCAGCGCATCATGCATCGGCAAGTCTATCGCCGATGCCCAGCGCGGCTCGTGGATCGGGGGCATAGCCTCATCTCGCTTTACGTTCCCGCCGGCTGCAGCTGTCTGTCGGGACCGGCACGTACCTGCCTGTCCAAACGTCGGCGCCTCACCACTTTCCAGCAATACCGCAGACTCGGATGTCCTCCTGATAGAGTAACGCTCGCCCAGCATCGTACTGTAAATCCCAGAAGCGCAAGAATAGGTCACTGCGATCCGCCCGTCTGTGTTACATGGTCTGCCAAGCTACCTATAGGGTCGTGCCCCCATCAGACACTCATGTGTTCTGACAAACTAACGAAATGGACACCCCAGAATCTATGCTGCAGTATGCTACGTTACCCCGATTCAATTATCCGAACATCTTGCAGAGGAGCACTAGATGGAGCTATCAGGAAGTGTCGTCTGCAAGCGTCCGTACATATAGCAATACGCGGTTGCGTCAACTTGCATATATGCCCTCAAATGCACGTCATCCACTTGGCTTTGCGACAGGCCAAGGCCACGACCCACCTTTGATCATGAGTTGATCCTTACTTCCTCGTCGGCGCACAGTGAGCACGCCAGGAACACCTTATTCAATTCAATCCGCACATGCCATGTGCGTGCGATATTCCCTCATGATCGTCGTCGTCGTCAAGAAGGCCCTCAGCCCTTGGGGGTATCAAGGGCGTCTTGTGACCGCACTGCCGGCGAACCCAGCAGTAATCAGAAAATTCCTTATTAGTCCGAGCGAGTGTGTTCCCTAATATCCAAAGGGCGAGAAGGATGGAAGAAAAGAAAAGAAAAAAAGGGGATGGTTACAGGTTCATGAGCTTGCGCGCGTGCTCCCGCGGTCGGATGTCCATCTTGAAGGGCGCCGGCATCCTAAAGCACGTCGGTGAGTACACAGTCGCGGGACGTCGTAACATGGGGGGAGGAAGAGGAAGAAGGGGGAGGCGGGGACACTCAATCTGTGGGATCGACGCTCACCGGAAGACGCTATTCTCATACCGCACTTCGGGCTCAATGACGTTCCCTTTCTCATCGACCGCCTTCTGGATGTCGAGCGCCGCGAGCATCGACGTGATCAGCAGCCACGTCGACTGCTCCGCCAGGTACATCCCCGGGCACCGCCTGCGCGTGGGGACCAGAACACACCCGTGAGCACGCACACACACACGCCAGACGAGATACGCTTGCTCACCGCCGCCCGAACCCGAAGACGAAGTTCTTGGGGTCGCGCTTCTTCTTGGTCTCCTCGTCGGCCGGCTGCGCGAACCGCTCAGGCACGAACGCGTGCGCGTCCGGGTACATTCGCTCATCGCGGCACATGTTCCTGTTATAGCCCCGCAGCGCCGCATCAGGGGCGTGACAGCGCAAAGGTAAATCGTCGGGGTTACGTACCAGATATTGGCAAACACCTGTCATCATGGGAAGGATGGGTTAACAGAGAGAAGCCGCATGCGGGAGTATTCACGTACGAATGAGCCCTTGGGAATGAAGTAGTCGCGGTACGTGTCGTCTTCCATCAGGCGGTGTGGCAACGCTGGTATGCGGGACTTGTAAGACTCTTCCGCTTGAGATACCCATTATCCAGCCTGGGACTCACCGTACGGTACGGGCGAGGTCCATCTGAAGACTTCGCTCAGGACGCATTCCATGTACGGGAGGTTCGGACGGTCGGTGAAGTTGGGTAACCGGTCCTTGCCCACGACCCGGTCGATCTCTTCCTGCGCCTTGATACGCACTTCGGGGTTCAACACCATGCATAGCATGAAAGAGGTCACGACGGTAATGGTCTAGTTCAGAGTACGTCAAGCCGCGACTAGGGTTACCCCGGGATCTATCCGGACTTACCGTGTCCAAACTCGCTAGGAGGAAGTGTGGAGATTAGTGCGGCGATTGGCAGTACAGCCATGGCAACTCACCAGAGTACATGGTGTTTGCAGAGTATTTGATATCAAACTCGTCCTGTTCCGTGATCGATTTGCCAGCGGCCTCAACCAGAGTGGAGCAATAGCAGGTCTTAGCAGTTCCGTTTGCCTACGCATCACCAGGTTAACCCACCCCACACTACCCGATGTCAACAGCTTATCTCACCATATTCTCTTTGAACTCATCGTAAGGCACGGTCGCGAATTCCGTAAGCTGCGCTTTCCACTTGATCGCCTTGTGCTTGAACCCCGAGCCAGGCGCCCACATCGGCAAGTGCCGCACTAGACTGGGTTAGCTGCTGCTGTCACGTCGATACTTTAGAGTAGGATGCTTACGGAACGGCAGAACGTCAACGAGCCAGAGGAAACCGCCGCCGGCAATGTCGTTGGCGAGCACATCCGCGCAAGCTTCCGCGATTTTGAGACAGCGGTCGTCATCCGACGTGACCTGGTGTCCGTAGATAACGTTGAGCGTCAAGGTACCGGCGTATCTAGGTAAATGTTAGGACACCGAGACAAGCAAAATTCGACAGCTGTCTCGATTTACCTCCGGATATGATCCACGTAGCTCGTGGGCTTGCTGAGGAGGCGCTTTAGGAAAGGGATGGTCTCCATCTCGAGGAGAGGGTGGTAGTTCTTGATCACCAGCGGGGTCAGCGCGCGCTGCATGAGCCTCCGCTGCCGACGGAATTGATCATTGTAGCCCGTGAAGGACATCTAAATACCGTTTGAACCTGCCATTTCGCTTGTACGCCTCTAGCGGCACTTACAATGTTGTAACCGCCGCACCTGCGGGGTCTTGTCAGTATGGACATGGCAGGATTTGGAAGGCAACGTACAGTTCGCCCGCCATAACCAGGTGAGGCCGATCGGAGTAGATGCTACCTTTCCTATCCATAAGATCTACAGCTACTTCCGCGTCGTTCAGGAAAACCAGCCCCGTGCCGAAAACGTGTATATACACTATGTCACCTGAAGAACGGTCAGAGAAGGACAAAGAGCTGTCCCTGCATACTGAGCAGCACTCACCGTATTCTCTGGCCCATTTTTCGAGGCTGAGCCATAGTTCTTTCAATGACAGGTCGAAGATATTACCAATAAGGGGAAGGCCCTTCGGACCCGGAGGTAAATGAGACGAGGGCGACCGTGAGTATACGACAAGGACTACAAGTAGCAGCCAGGCAAAGAGTGTGCTTCCAACGTACTCCATGGCGGAGACGCGACGAGTTGGCGATGGTCACTTGAAGAAAAGAGTGGAAGCGATAAGCGGAAAGCTATCTTTTTGGTCGGAACGGGGTCAAGTGATGGTCTGTCAAGAGTTGGCAGTCTAATCGTGGCTTCGGTTTGTTCTAGTAGGCGCACCGACGTGCAGCGTGGCAGGGCCTGACACACTTCCTTTCGGCGACATGACGGCTGGACGATGCCCGCTTCTCAGGACAATATCTAGGGTGAAGAACGAAATCTGTAAGTTCGGTCCTTTTCTAGGCACCTGAGTGCCCAGGCAGACTTGAAATCTGGACGACACGCCTTCCTAAAGATCTGGGAGCGATGTAACGTGACTTCTCAGGACTGGGCGGGATCTGCCATAATTAATATTTGTCCTTGCTTGGTGGGGAGTCTAAGTAAAATGGCCGAAAGAGCTTCCGTCGCTCCGGTTAAGGGTGGGGCTGACCAATAGGAGCACGAGCAGCACCTTGCGGCTGCCCGAAACGGACTTGAAACCGGAGCATCAACAGGGTAATCAGAGAAGATCAGGAAAGCCAATCCAATCGAGTTACAGCCGCTTGCAGATCGATAGACCATCAATTCAGAAAACCACGTATAGTCGGAGTGGGTCGGAGTGGGTGCCAGGGACGTCGGAAGAAGGTAGAGAAGTCCAGATGGTCCGATTTCTGTCTCTCGGGGACTTGAAATTGCTTGTCCGACGTGGTCCGACTGTTAAATGATTTTCAGAAAGTGGGCCCATCGATCTGCAAATGGCTGTACTGACGGAGTGTATTACTCCGTGTTCAGAAGCCTGAATGCTTTGCCCATGCGCCCTTCTGCAGCGCTGTTTATTGTTCGGTATATTCTAGGATGGCTTGTGAATGGACGTCATCCTTAAAGCATATCCTGGAAGCTCAGCAGCGGCCTGGGAGCAATGCACTCCCACTTGGTCCGAGTTGTTTCGCGGCGTCCGAAAGAGTCGGCTGCCTGGTTACGATATTGCTGCATGAGGGCACATTTGCCCTGATCTAAGCATTACATACCAGACCCTGACTACCAGATCGATATCTGGGGAGAGCGGCGGAAGTCCAGGTTGGACTAAATTCCACCTGACGGGAAAGTTGACGAAACGGTGATCCATTCTCGCTTACCTCCATTCTTAAGCACAGTATGGACAGTCGTTCGAAAACCTCACCCTTCCACCGTCTGAGCTCCCGCAGACGTCCCTCAACCCGGCCCCGGTCCTCTCCTTGAAGCCGCCCCATTAGACCGCTGGCCCTCTCCATGGTTGACTGGAACTCGCCCACGGAGCTTGCCAAAGATGCCTGTAAGTAGCTTAACATGTTCATTCGAATGTATGGATCGAGATGCTAATTTTGTCTGACCGCAGTGGTGTTCGATAAGTTCATGCACGTCCTGGTCGGGCTTTACTTGTAAGTCCATCATTGTTATCCCGGTCTTTACGAAGCTGACGTCTGCACGGAATTGCAGATGGGAGTGGTTCACGTCGTTAAACTTCGACTGGGAGTTTATCTCGGGCAAGAAGCCGTTCCGGTGGCCAATGGTAAGCATACTAGTATATTGCCGGGGTAGTCAAACTAACGACGCGATGACACGATCCTTAGATCTTTTATTTTGGCGGCCGGTATGCTCTCGTCTGTGCTCTGATCGCCATGTTAGTATTTGGGCCTCCGTCGACTTTCTTTCAAACTAATGCTATTCTTATAGCTTAATCGCCCTGGATAACACAGAGTACGACGCCAATCCCGTCCACGATGCTTATAAGGTCTTTGCTGACCTGTATTCGTTAATTCTAGGCCAATAAATTGCCAGGCGTTGTACATCTTTGCCCAGCTTGCCGGTAACATGTCCATTGGGCTGGCTAGCATCAATCTGTCTATCCGTGTGTAAGTCGCTCGCGACGAGTGTGTGCTACTTCAGGTCACCATTAACATGTTTGTACAGGATGGCGATCTATTCAATGAACAAATACGTCGTCGGACCCCTTGTCCTCTTAATCCTTGGCCACTGGTCACTTCTTCTGCAAGGTACGTTCGACACTCCACATTACCATTCGACACTTACTGTGTTCTCTAGGTGTCAATGTAAAAGCCGCCTTCATCCCGGGTTCGGGATGCGCGATCACCGAATCGAACACCACGATCCTTTCTGCCATCTTTATCTACACCATGTGCTTTGACGCGGTCGTCACCGCGCTCACCGTATACAGACTCGTATTCAACGCGCGCAGCCAGAGCTCGATTGTGAAGCGCATCTGGCGCGACGGTGTGTTCTACTTCATCGTTGCTTTGCTGTGCAACATTCTCGCAACGGTAGGTGTCTCTTACATGCTATGCTCCTTTGCCCGGGGCTCACCCAAGTAATCGCGCTTGCTCAGGTGCTGATCCTACTCCAGCTTAACGCTGTGATGAGTGTCATCATGGACGTTCCGTCTGCAGTTGCCTCTACGGTTAGTATTGCAGCCGGCTTCCGTTCCTCAATAGCTTACGCCTATCTACGCTCAGATCGTCGCCTGCCGCGCAGTCCGCCGGCTGATCAACTTCACTTCGGGCCCGGAAGTCTAGTGAGTGCTTCGCTTCCCATATTCGGCTCCGGCTTCGTGACACGCGCTAACACTTTGGTCCCCGCAGCTCGGGCTCAGGCAGCAATGGTAATACCTCGGGGATGGCCTTTGGAGGCGCTGCTCGCTCTGGGGCGCCGCCGGCTGTGTCTGTAGGCAACAAGTCGAGGGTCGGAGGTGTACGCATTGAGGTGAGCGTGCTTTTCATCTGCAATTTGGTGTGTTCCTGTGTTCGCTTCTGACCCTGTTCGCCTCCGGTAGATGGAGACCTTCACCGAGGCAGAGGAGTATCCGGTTTCGACGGGCAAGTCCGCGTACGATCTCGAGTCGCAGCCTCCTCATGGCAGTGCCATGTAAGGGGTTCCCATCGGCGATAGCCTTCTTTGTAGATGGGAGGAAGTGCTGATTTTTATCCGCTCTTTTAATATGGTTATCTCGTGGGTTTAACCTGAGGTGTACGGTACTCAAAATGCACTGGGCTCGGGGAGTCTTCATGGGCCTATTTGCAAGACGTATTTATTGACGCTGTCGATGAATCGATACACAATATTACAATATAATTGAAAGAAGTGCATAGCGGTGCGAGCTGCGAACTTGGGAGCAAGGTGTGAGACTTTGGGAACTGAAGGCATGCGTACATGTGTAGTAGATCCAGGATAAGGGAAAGTGTAGTGGAAGAAGCTATGGGGCGTTCTCATACCCATCATCGCTTACATAGTTACGACAGCAAGACTTCGGCAGGAAGCGAAAAGAAACTAAGATGCCTGTAGGATCTCTCCCGTAGATCAGATTGTATGGGATGAAATCTGCCAGTGAAGAACGTTGAGCTATGACAATATACACGAGCGATTTCAGCCGTTATCTTCGCATTGGGATACGCCCGGCAAAATGGAAGTAGAGAATACACCTTAACCTCCTGTTAAGCGCGCCAATTGTTCGCTACAAGCTGCTCGACGGTTAGGCTGCCGTCCGCTAGCTTGCGCAGCGGAATGCTGCTGTTCCAGATACTTCCAGCTCCCATGCCGATATCATCCTGCCACTCAGCTGGAGTGAGATTCCCAGTTCGAAAGGCGAAATAGACGGATTGGAATGAGTAGTACTCCTCTACGATGGAACTCCCTACACGAGACACATCATCGTTCTCACCCGGCGGTGGAGGAAGCACCACGACCAGCATTTGCAAGGTCTCCAATTCCAGAATAGAGTCCAACATCTCGTAGAGGACGCGTTGGCTGTACAAGTGCAGCCCAGGGACTGCGATGTGCGTGATGTTAGTGAGATGCTCCACTGGGATGAATGGCGACATCTGGCAGTTCTCAAGACGCAGATGGGTGAGACCTCCTAGAAAATGTTGTGCAATAGGCGACTTGGACCATGTACGGAATGTCGTGGCGGGAATATGATCGAAGGTATGTAGAGACCGACAGGGGAAACGCGGTCGAGCGGTGGTTGGCTGGCCGGCGTCTTGCCCGCTATGGTCTTCCGTGGAAGGCAGCCCCATTTCTGTGAGAGCCTCTAGGAGGGGCCACATGTAGGGACCCCACAAGGCAAGATTGATTACCTGCGGCATTGCATGGAAGGATGGGACGGCGTCCAACCAGCCGCTGTACTCGGTAGCTCTCTGAATCCACAAGTTGCGCACCCGTTCAATATATTTATGGAAATCGCAGTCTCCCCTCCGGTAGTGTAGGACGAGAGTCCTAAAGAGGGGTGTCGCTGCCAGTTCTCTCGCCCATGAACAGACTCGTGAGATCGACAAGGCGCTTTCTTTCGAGGAGTATGCTGCGAGCTCTAGAATGAAACAGATGAGTTCCGTTGGTACCTGACTGCATTCAGCAGTGAGGCGGTCCGTGTCCATTAATGTGGCGACTCAGATGTCTGGACTCGATACTGCACGAACTTGAAGTTGTCGAGCGGTGGCGCTCTATCAGTTCGCGATCGCCTTATCGTTCGCCGCGGCTCGCGGAACCGAGGTATCGATATCTGCTCCTCTGAGCCTTTGCGGCACGCTGCAATGTAGTAACGCTGAACTCAATCAGTACTGTATCGTCGCTGAAGGGCGAAGACGCCACGATTTTCGGCCTACGGAAAAGCTGAAGATTTGGCAGTTCGTCGCTGTGGGAAATGTTCCGATTCCCTTGGGAATTGGTTATCAGTACAGTACTGGCTTCAGTGGCAACACGTGGCTTTTCGTTGGACAGGGGCTATTTACCTCGTTTTAGAATGACTTTATTTATATCCTTCGGGCATTATCCCCCCATTTGTACTGAGGGGTTTCGTACCCTCTTGCATCCGTCCTCTAGGGGTCATTTGGCGGTGGTATGGTAGGACCCTGGATTATACGGATAGAGGCTGTTCCGGGATCTCAACTTTCGATGTCCGGATAGCAGACCGCCCGATCCTCCGCTCTTGTCCGCATTGGACGTCGACATGTCCAAATGCGGTAATTGTGCTGACAAATTGGCCAACAATAGCCCTCAGAATCCCAAAATACCCTCCCACGGCCTCGCCCGGTGGGGGATCAGTCTGAATTCTGGTCATTTTGTCCGCATAGGTCTCCGGCATTGGCTCGCCGGGGCCTTCTTTCTGTCCGATCGTGACACGGCATCCCGCCGGGCGGGTCCCAGGTTTGTCTGGATAGTGACACGGGATCTATCTGTATAATCCAGGGTCCTGGTATGGTCCGCTGTGAGGAGATCATGTACTGTAGCCCTCAATGCGGACCTCGGTGGTAGCTACTTACTAGGCTCGATACCAGCCATTTCAAGCTCACGCCTTCCATCACTCCGAAACCAAAAAAGGAAGGCGTGTGCAATGCGTAGAGGACTGGTTGCGAGTCTAGCTACTTATTCCGCTGGCTTTACGCTTCGCCTGCCTTACTAGGCAGGTGACGCGGCTCGGTATCTCCCGGGTGCTTCCTGCGCCACTTCATCGCGTGGTTCGCCCCTCGCGTGGCCTTTGTCACGGTCATCTGTCACAAGCTCTATTGTTAATTAACCGTCATTCGAGTGCGGTGCGTTTCGCGAGTGTTTGGTCGTGTACGTCCTAATACATCTGCATCCGCCCCCCTCATACCCGATATCCACGCGTGTACCGCGAGACGGTCCCTTGCGTGCCCGTAGTCTCGGCAGGTCTTCGATGTCTCCCGGTTGGTCCACCAGTCCCTCGATATGAGTCGCTTCTGCCATTAGTTCTGGGATGCGAGCATCTGCAATGCGAGGCTTGGGCCCTTTTATCTACAGTGCACCTGTACATTTTAGCTATCAAACTGATACTGTAGTGCAGATTCATACATGATTGCCATGGTACGAGAAAGAATGTGCACTTGAACTCGGAATTGTGCAGTAGATATAGTGTTGCAGTGCATTCAGGTACATACGCGCAGTCTTAGTCCGATCAGCACTTCTGCCTCAGACCCGTTCCCGCATTCATGCGTAGCCAATGGCCAAATGTGCCGTTAGCACAAGATAGATTCACATTTTCAGATACGCATGCGATAGCCGGTACATGCATGCAATACAATATACTAGTAGTACAACGCTACCTCATTGGTATCACTGACATATCTCACAAGTGCTACAATCCTCGTCGGGGGAAAAGATTGCATGGTCAAAATAGTATTGAAGGCTCTAAGATAGTAGTAGAAGGAAGCTATTTACTGAGTAGATACAATGTATGCTAGGTATGATGGCAGATTTACACAATTGAATAGCAAGGTATAAGCTAGGTAACTTGCCACGGCCTGATCAGCCTGACTCTTCAGTCGTCAGCATCGCGATTCTTGCTGGAACGTCCAGATGTCTCGCCACGAGCCTTGCGTTCCGCGGTGAGGACCTCAATTAATGCTTTGCAGCCTCGTTTAGCAGAAGGGTAAGACGCCAAGAAAGCGTCCTCGTTGCGCCCAAGTCTCACCAAATAACCTCATCTCAGACAGTATGAGGATGCTAGTGACCGTGGTACTCACCGGACGAACGCCTCGGTGATAATACGACGCGTGAACCGCTTCTGCTGGTTGACCAGCCGCATGCCCCCGGTGTACCAACTCTTGGGCCAGTCCTTTAAGGCGTAACCAGTGAGGGGATCCACTTCCTCCCATTGTCTGACGGCGACTTTCCAGCCGGCTGCCCCGCGAGGAAGGTCGGGTATGCTGGCTTGCGGAACTGAAGGGACGGATCGCTTGCTTCGCACTCGACGCGGCGGACGCTCGCTCTGTGTTTGGTTGCTGACAGTTGTCAGCGGAACGGCAATGTGCTCTTGCAACGACTGCGATCCTGCGGAACCGAGAGTGTGCGTGGGGCTCATGATGATGGGTGGGACAGGTAGAACGGAAGGCGAGACAGAGGAATGGGATGATGATGCAGCCATCGTCGGAGCAGTCATGGGCGGTGATGGACCATTTCCATGCAGGTAGGCCACGAAGAACGTTATGAAGCTATCGAGCTTCCGGTCTAACGAATCAGCATGCTCTCGATGCTCCGCCACGGTCACGGGAGCAGCAAGCGAATCCTCCCCATTGAAGGTGAGATCCCTGCGAGTCTGGACGGGTGCAAGTGCGTCTCCGTGCTCGTTCTCTAGCGCAGTTATCTCATCTAACAAATATCGTATCAATGTATCAGTCTGATTCATAGCAAAGAATCAAATCAGGTGCCATACGCAAGATGGGAACTTGAACAACGTACACGTTCACCCTCGGACCACCCTCCCCACCAACGCACTCTCGCTAACGACCAGCGCTGCCCGATTGGGGCCCAGATGAAGCGGTACTGAGCACCCCCACGACGGAAACTGTGCGTTGAAAAGTTCTTGTCGAGTCCAGCTTGCTTGGCAAAGTCGTCGAGGGTCTTCTGCACAACATCGTGATTGAGGGCCTGCGATGTGTGAATGAGGCCATTTGGACTAATGTGAGGAAAGACATATTCCTCCTCAGTCATGCGCCGACCCAGGACTTTCTCGCGAAGCCGCAGCCATCTGCTCAGGTGCGTCCGCATGCAGATCTCTGGTGTCTTTGGCTGCGCATGTATCTCGTAGGTACGCCCTCCATACGCTCGTGAGATCCAATCCACCCGTATGGCACTAGTGGGCTTACATACCTTGAGAGTGAGCCCCGCTACCGGGCCTTGACTGCCATCCCTTGCGTTGGTCTAAGGTCACCTTATCGTGAGGGAAGTAGTACGGCGCTGGTCCGACACAGCCCTCCCTGAAGTCCTTTCCTTTCAAGGCACACAACTCGTTGTTCCTGATAGATCACAAAGGCAGTGAGTTTCCCATACATAGAATAATGATGAGATCATCTGCTACCGTGTCCACAAGGTAAATGCTGTTGCGAGGAAGGCTCGCATCTCGAAATGGACGATTGCTTGGAATAGGAACCCTGCGTCCGTGATCGTGCAACTTAGAAGGTGAGCTGGGAAGTGGATCTCTGACCAGGCCATGATGGCCCTCATATCCTCAATCCCGATCGCTTCAGCATGGTGAGTGCGAGTACCATGCGCAGCCCTTGACCGGTTTCTCAGGGAGTGCCACAAGTCCTGCACGCCTGCAGATAGAGCCGGGTTACCACGCACAACCTTGCTCTTTGGGTCGTAACTATAATCCCCTCGGTATGTTTCAGCATCCCTGTCAAAATGTTCTCAGTCGTTGACTAACGGCTAAGTTGATCATATGCTCCCTACATTTCCTGCCACATCCGTTTGAAAGCAGAATAGATCTGCACGGCGGTCTGTTCCTTCAGGTTCTGCTTGATGCATTTCTCCGTCAAGTACAGCTCCAAACCCAAAGCTGAGTACTGATTCGGAGGCTTCTCAAAGGCAACTTCCAGGGCATCAAGATTGATGGACTCTTCGACGTCTTTGGGACAGTCAGCATCAGCCTGGCTTGCGGCTTTCCGCGCTTGCACAAGGTCAGCGAGGAACTTCTTCCCATTCTTGATATGCCGGTTATAAGCTTTATTCGTATTCTGTGAGTGCAGATTGTCCTTCTTGCTTGACTCAGTCAAGATACGAAGCTGATCAAGAGAAGCAGCAGCAGAACTATCAGGTGAGCTCGACTTCCCAGCCCTCCCTGAGGATGTCTTCCGTGCGGTCGCTGTCGCAGCATTTCCACTGCGCCTGCGACCCATTGCACTCAGCCAGAGCGGAAGACAAGGAGTGCTAACACTTCCCCGTCCGTCTTTAGCTTCGTCCGAGTCGATCATTTCCGAGATCTGAACTTGTGAAGTGTTTCACAATGGGCCGTATAGCCAGTGGCGCAATTTACGTGCTATAGGATGGTAGATACAGAATATAATCTCTTGAACTGATATTAATAGTTACAGTCAAGTTGTGTCGATACCCGTCAAATCGACAAAGCGAGAGCCGGTCACTATGAGTCTCTCCTCAGGCTCATCCGTCAAGTCAATCACATCCGACATGGGTACGTTGGTCTGCTCAATTTGTGCAGACGGAGCCGACTGCCCTGCAGATGGCAAATGTGGTGGCAACTCCGATCTCCGGCTGCCTGAGCACGGTGCCCGGCGCGCACGCTTCACGTTGTGGGCGGCGACAAGGTCAGGGAGTGCCGTCTCGAGGATCAAAGCGGGCACCCATGCTCGTACACTGACTTGCTCAGGCTCCGAGTCGGCAGTATTGTTTGTGAGCAGTGGTGGTTGACGGAGGCCGAGACATCCCTGCTGGATTGCTTTGACGAAGTCATTGACAGTAAACTCGACTCGATATGCTGGAGCGTTGAACGTCGGGTGGTTGAGTTGGAGGGACCGGATTAAAACAGACTCGGTGAACGAATCCTACATGATGCGAGCGGTTAGAATATCACAATGCTACATAAAGCAGCCTAAGAAAAGTACAACACACCTGCGGTGCCTTACGCGTGCCACCCGCTGCAACCCTGTCGTTCCTGCGGCTCTCGTTGCAGAGACGCCGGACGCACACACCCTCCAGCACTGCGAACTGGAACCTCTTGATGATGCCGCCGACGGTACCCCATGCAAACAGCCGTTCACATATCCTGGCGATTTTCACGGCTTCCGCGTGTCGCAGCTCGAAGGTAGGGAGTGTGGGGACTTCGTGATTGCTCCATGATGTCAAAGGCTTCGCATATGCGAAGGCAGCAGTGATATTGGGAAACGAGGTGCGTACGGCGGCTGCAATCTTGTATTGTTTACAGCCAAGGAACCCCTGGCTGTCGTTACGTAGCTCCTCACGCACACGTTCTCTCCAACCTTCGAGGAAAGTGGAGAGCTCATCCGCACGAAGCGATTGGATGGCGTCGTACAAGCTTCTGCCGAAGCCGTAGAGAGCAAGCTTCTTGGCTACTTGAATCCCGCAGCCTACAAGGCCAGTCTGTACAAATCACTTAGTGTACGTGTCTGAGGCAAGAAACATGACTGACGGAATCATAGTCCCCCCCCTTGCATAGTGCAATGAATATCATTGCGGTGCGATCGAGGCCTATGCCGCCTTCGTCTCGAATCCGTTCAGCACCATAGACGCAGACTTGATGAAACTGAGGCTTGATGTCCGGATTGCTACAGGTCTTCGTCAGAACTTTGATATTGATCAAACTAAGTGGTATACGTACTTGCGAAGGACGTACTTTGCCCCGAACAGAAGCGCATCAACATCTTCCGTACATACCGCGTCTATAACGCCGCGCTCGTTGAGTTCTGCGAGTTCAGCCTCAGCTTCGCCGGGGGCCTGAGGAAGTCCGTTTAGACAGTGTGGTCAGTTCTATCGATACAACAGGTAAATAGATACTTACCAGGTGTACATAGAAGCCGAAAGCTTCTATCATCTCCTGCATCCCACTTGTCAACCAGTGCGGGGTTGTCATCACCCTCTTTCCGCGCTTTCGATGAGGCCGCCCCGGACCATCAAAGACGAAGACAGCAATGAGCGGGTATTTGGAGAAGTGGCTGAGCCGATGAAAAATCGTCCTTAGTTCCGGGCTCTCTCCCGCTTGAGCGTGGTTGCGCCGGAAAGCCATACAGCATTGCATAATCCAAAGACTGACTAATGATGTCAGTGATGTTCCGACTCGGAGACCTGTTGCAGAAGCCTACCTTGCATCGACGCCGATTTTCAAAGCGCGGATCTCCGCATGTTTGAATCCGGATTTGAACGCAAGCTCCCCCATCGGCATCTTGATTGCTGCAGGCGACAGAATCTGGTGGTAACCTTATTTGACTCTGGCCCCGTGGGCCGTAAGATACGGCGGTAAAGCAATAGCTTACCTGCCAAAGTCCATCGACACCCATATCGCAGGGGTACCCGGTAAAGGGAACAAGGATGTCGTAAGGTGCGCGGTGGATTGGAAGTCTGCCGTCTGAGCGGGCTCTGTTCTGTGATGTGCGGAAGGCGTCAGGGGACATTTCCACAGCCTGGTCCATTTTATGAGGGATTGAATGGGACCGGGAAGGCCACTTCCGGTACCTGGCACGGGTAAGGGACACCCTATATAGGGACTTCCGCATTTGTCAGTCGTCCACATAGGTTACAGCGCATTGTCCTCGCGTTTCCATTTTGGTATTCAGGGATGGCGAGAGCCTGAGTTTTGCACAGGCTCGGCAGCAGAGTACGAGCCCGGGAAGCTCAGAAAATATCCGGGACATCGATTCAGTCTCCCTTCCAGTTGGCAGTGAAGATGGACTGACCTCTTGGCTGAAGGAGGCCCGCCTCTTGAGGTTGAGCCCGAGGACGTACCGGATGATGTGGACGGTGAACATCGCTGTTCAACCTGGCTCGGCAGTTGCCGGCACCACATTTGGGGTATGTGGCAGCGCGCCGCTTCATGAAGAGAACGAGAAAAAGAAAGACATATCCGCTGGTGAAGACGCAGAGAATTGACAGCGCACAAGGAGGGTAGCCAGCACCTTCATACATGACTGACTCGAAACACAGCAAGAAATGAGGAATTCCAGAGAAGCCGCCCTGGCAGCCTGTAAGTATGCGAGCAGGCGGATTTACCAATAACTGCCAATAACAAGCAGGAAGTGCATAGGCGAGTTCGCTTTACCGTAAATCAACAACGATTTACGCTCACGTGTTCCACGCGTTGACGCGTCCGCTGCTTCCTGTGATCGCGCGACGGACGTAAAGGAGTTATCGCGTCGCCTTCCATACCCAAAGATCACGGGATTGTGACGCGTCAATGAGGTGTGTATACCAGCGCGACCCGGGAGCAATGCAAAAATAATCCAGGCTAGCTGCTTGAGTACAAATGTCTTTATAGCACAATTTACTATTGATTAATCCTATATAATATGGCAGTACAGGCAGCTGTAGAGCTCGGATACATGAGGGGGTAAGCATTTGACAGTGAGAGGATGAACAGTGAAGGGGAAATGCATGAGAAGATGATATGCAACGATGACACAAGAGAAAGGGAGAATGAAAAATAGTAAGTGAATCCGTGTGCAGGGAACGATGCGATGCAGAGGCGCCAGGATAATACGGTGCCTGGCAAGTCTATTAGTGAGCCGCCGAGGGAGTCGTCAAGAGTGCCAGCCAGCTGTGGCATATAGATATCGACAGGCAGGTATTCGAGCCCATGATGACAGATGATGATAATGCTGGTGAAGAAGCAAAAGAGCAGCCTGGAAGCCCAAAATCGTGACAACAGACGTGCCCAGCGGAGTCGCAGCCCCAAGGCGGCCACCCCCCCCAGGGCCTATCAGACCGCCGGCGCGGCGAACACGAACGCCGCGCGCGAGATCTTCGACTTGGGCAGCGCTTTGATAACGTCCGCCGCGTACCCATTTGTATGACCTGGTCGCTTCCACTTCTCGCGACAATCTCCTTTGAAACGCGTCTATCCCTACCAACGCTTCCCATCTTCAGTTACTGGAGCAGTTAAAAGTTAGAGAGTCCCCATGCGAACTTGTTACTCACTTACAACATCAGCTCTCTCTCTCACACACAAGAGCATTGTAGCAGGCGGGGGATCAAGTGCCGTCAACCGCCGCGAGGCTCGGAGAGCGGCTGGACAGTCCATGCTAGATATATCCTACATCAGAGTCCAGCGTAGCAAAAGAGAGCTGTACGAACCTACACAAGTCTTCCCGGCTCACCTCCCGCCTATTATCGGGTCCCCGCGGTGGTGCGGGGACCTGCACATACCGAGTACCTTATTATTTCCAGGAAAGGCGGCACTGCTGAGTACTCAGCACCGCATCCAGCGACACAACTGCTAGTGGGACATGCAGGAATGCCTGCAGGTACACTGATACACTCACAGGCCCCATCCCGCTAGAGATATTGCCGCCGAGTTCGTTCTGCGAAGCACCAGCTGAGCTAGGGTTTGCGGTCTTCGCAGATGTGAAGGGAGGATATATTTATTGGGAGCGTAGGCTAGGTATTATTATGCGCAAGACAGGCGCCAGCTTGTAACGTCACGTAGCTCGATTATCAGCTGCGTAAGCGAGCTTGACCCCGGATCCATCAGGGTTGATTTACGTGTAATTCGTGTAAAATAACCAGAATAAACCTACTTCTTCCGTGAGATCTACGGTCCTGTGGCGGGGGAGCCACAGTCCATTACAGTCCCAGTTCCCACGCCATTTGGGACCCCGGCCTCTCCATTCCCCGTCCATCCCGGCCTGCTGGAGGGCCAGATACACGCCTCCCGTGCTTCAAATATTGTACATACTTGCAAATATAATCTATGCTATTGTTAGTAATATTTGAGGGTCAAAGAAGCACATCAGGCGCTCGGGAACCCTACAAACGCGCGGGTGAGGTAACCAGATATCTACCCGAGGGACTGTAAATGCCAAGGCTATGGACTGTGGATTTCGCCAGCGGAAATCGCGTCGTGACGCGATTTGGCGCGGGCGCGCGCCAAAATCGACCCCCTCCTCAGCTAGGTTCGGGTCGGGAAATTCACAGTCCCAACCGCGGCATCACAGTCCACTCGGCACCCAGATCTGTGGCTTGCCCCGAGCTTTAGCTGACCTACTTGCTTGCTCCTGGTATTTATTCCTTACTTAGCTGCACTGTACCGTAGCTGCACATGTACTATAGTTCAAAGAAATTTTATTCCGAATTTTCTACCCTACCGTACCCTCATGGAGGAGGCTGCATCTGCCCGCCTCCCGAGCTTGACTTGCAGCGGTGGCGGGAGTTGCTTATGTAATCCGATTGAGACCGTAAACTTTCCTATGATCAGATTCACTTACCTGCTGGACATAAATTGAGTCTCCTGCCATATTGAGGCGGCCGTCAGGCCGGCCGAAATGTGGCGGCTCAAAATGAGCTTTCTTGATGTACATGTTGTTCTCCGGCAGTGGTTCTACGTTCAACTGCTCGCTCTCCAGAGCAACGGTAGAGCGGAAGGGAATCGGACTCCGGCGTGCCGCGCAGCGCCGTACTTAAGCAAGTTGATAGGAGTGGGTGCG